ATATTAGTGGTCAATAACTCTATTTTTGTATAATAAGAACTTTTAATCTTTAGTATAGAGAATTAAAAAGTTTATCTCTCTTATACAAAAGTTATTAACATTATAAATAGATACCTAATTTATAAGTACATACTTGATGCAATGGATGAAAAGTCTAAATACTAAGATGTCTTGCTAACACTTTCTTTTGCTTTTGTGGTTATAGAGTTTCTATCTCTCACGTCCAAATAATTTTAGAGGATTATTTTTTAAGTTCTAATTTCAATAGTGTGAATTTGATGCTATTTCCAAATTCAAAGTTCTCATTATTTCAAATTTGTAATAATTAGTGATTTTTATCATAAAAATTTCTTCTTTTATTTGTATCCATTTTTCTTTTAAATATAGAATAAATTCTCTTTTTAATAATTTTAACATTTCAAAATTTTCATTAAATTTTTTATTAAATTTGATCAAATTTTTTATATATTTTCCAATTATAAGAAAGACATCTACATATGAAGTAAGAAGAATGACTTTTCCATGTGATATTTGAGAATATAAATCATAATATCTAATATCTTATTGAAAGGCTATTTCTTTTAGATAAGATTCTATTTTTTCATACCATGCTCAAGGTGCCTATCTTAACCCATATAATGGCTTTTGTAATCTACAAATTATTTGTTCCTTTTTTGGTGCTTCAAAGCCCTTGGTTTGGATTATATAAACTACTTCTTTTCATTTTCTATGAAGAAATGTTATTATGACGTCTACATGAGATAATTTCTAATTTTTTTAAGTGGCAATTGATATCATAGCTCTAATTTTTGGCCATTTTATTATTAATGCAAATTTTTCTTCATAGTCAATTCCTTGCTTTTGTTCAAATCTCTTGACTGCTAATCTATCTTTGTATTTTTGAAGTAAACTATCTTTATTCAATTTTACTTTGTAAATCTCTTTTGTGAAAATAGTACTTTACATAATGGAAGACTTGTAAGATGCCATATTTCATTTTTGTATATGAAATTCATTTCTTCCACCATCACTTGTATCCACCTTTAATGTCTTGAAACTTTATGATATGATATTGATTCTATATTTAGAATCTAAATTAATTCCATAAAATAATTGTATACTTAGTTTAGATGTTGGATAAATTTACTTGCTTTTATTATAGTAAGATTTGTCCATATTAAAATTGGTGAAATTTTGCTAGATCTAGGAAAATTAAAAATTTTAAATAGTAATATGTTATTATTATTTCAAAAATAGGCCAATCATTTATTTTTTCTTTTAGAATAAAGATAATTTTTTTGCTTTAAAGTTTTATTTCTTAAATGACTGATTCTTTTGCTTTGCTGATTCTTGTAGTCAACAGAGTTTCTTTTGATTCTATTACTGATTGAATAGATTCAAATTGGTGTCGAAATGTTGACGTCAAAATCTACATGGATTCCTTTATCAATTAGGAAGGATCTGAAGATGTACCTCCACCCTTTTTAATCACCATATATGAGGCATCAGAACAACTCATTTGGATATTTAGTAAAAAAAAAAAAAGAAATTATTATGCTTAAAATTAAAAGATATAACAGATAGTGTAGAAATCCTTAGACAAATAAAAAATTAAAATATTAGTTGTAGAAATAGAATCTTAGTAACTCTTAGATATAATTATCTAAGTTGGTTTATTTTTTTTATTGTTGAGTATTAAGAATTAGTTATTGAGATTAATATCTACATTGGCCTTCTATCCATATATATTACTTATAAAAAACTATAAATATTAGTTAGTAGGTAGAAAAAGCATGAAAAAGAACCTTATATCTTTTTAATTATTGATATAAAAAATAGGATTTATAATTTATTTATATTGATTTTATTATTATAAAAATTACTAAGATAAAAAAATATAACACTAAATTGATATTAGTATTATAAAAATATTATAATAATTTTTAGAACTTATTTAGAATTTATTTAAGATTTATTAGAATAATTTTGGTAAAAATGAGTTTTACTACGTTGCAAGCCATTATGAAGAAATGGAGCAAGATTTGAAGGCCACACATGGTTCCTTGGCTAATTGGATTTTTTTAAAGACCATAATGATGTAAAAAATGTAAAAATATTGGTTCTACTAATAGAAAATAGGAAGACCAATAGCTAGTGTAATCTTTGTAGAAAGAGAAGTGTACAAGTCTCATATGGATTGTAGCACCTTGAATGTAGTTAAGAAGATAAGGCTAAGGCCTCATGGCCTTTCTTAGAGATCCATATACACTACATGTGAGCCTTGGTAAGGTTCAACCCTTGATTTATAAGCAAGTTACCTTTGAAATAAAATATTTTTACTTAATTTTTTAATTATTTACTTGCTAACTTTAAATCTTCATAACTTACTCATAATAGCTTGGATTTTTTTTCCTATAACTTACATTTTTTTCTTTCTGATAAGATCTTGTTTTTGAGATGTTTGTAGTATAGTATCATTGTTGGCTCTTTTAAGTATGTCCATTTCTTCCAACTCTTGTTCCATTGTGGTTGTGTTTGATGAGGCTTTGTTTTTAGAGGCTGCTTTTCTTGTACTTTGTTTCTATTATGTTATTCCAATTAAGGCCACTATATCTCATAAACCCTCTTTTTTTTATATTCTTTGAATCATATTCTTTTATAATTAATAGTTTTTTGGTCCAACTTGTAATTTAAACTATTCTATTATTAGATCCATAGTGCTCATTTTTATTCATAAAATTACTCATATTTGTGACTCTTTCTATTACATTGTCTACTTTGATACCATGTTGTGGATACTAAGTAATAACTGAGTGATAATTCAACAAAACACTATTATGTCACCATGGATCTAAAGAAATGTAAAACAACGTTGGTGCTTAGTGACTCTACTTTTTTTTTACCATAAAAGCTTGTAATCTTTATTGTAGAAAATTGGAGAGTTCATCTCTCTTATATAAAAGTTACCAATATTTAAAATAGATACTTAGTATTATGTTGTAATACAACCATTAGGTGAAAGAAAAAATAAAATATTATATTATAGAAGAGCTTAAATGAAAATATTTTAGTAAAATATCTTGGAATATAGATAATAGACAAAGAAGTAATAAAAATTAATAAATATTAAGATTGCCTTCTTGTAAAAGAAGCTTTTGCTTACTTTGTAAGGCCATATATATATATATATATATATATATATAGATTAAGAAAATAAATCATATAGGTATCTTAAGAAAATAGTTAAAAATAGGTTTTAATAAAAATAATCCCAAAATACTAAAAATTGATATCCAAAAAAGACTTATTGTGAACATTGATCAAAATCAGATCCTAGGGCACAAAACCATACACCTGTATTGATTTTATGATTCTTTAGTTGATCAAAAAATAGAATTTGAGAAAAAAAAAAAGTGAATTTTTTTGAAAGTTGGTTTCATATGATTTGGAGATATATTGAGTTTTTTAGGACTTTTCAAAGTGAAAAATATATTTAGTAGGTTTAATTTTGAAAAATAAAAAGAGACTTATAATTTTGAGTATTATGTACGTATCATAGCACATGTATAGGTGAAATTTTGAGATTTTGTTATTGTGCTTGTTTTCAATATGATTGAAATATTTGACGTCAATCAAATGGTTAGATTGAAAGATATGAGAGTTTTTGTGAAGTATGGTCTCAATTATTTGAAATTTAGGATTAGTGAAGGTTTTTATTATTCTGAAAAATTTGCTAGATTAATTAAAAGAAAATTTTGTGAGATCAAATTGAACATAGAAATCTAGATACTAAAATATTTTTGAACAATTTAGCAAAGAAAATTTACTGCTAAGATATAAACATTTACGTTCGAAAAAGAAGGTGGCCAACATCCAAGAGGTTTAGAAGCTTTTCTTTTGAATGGTGAATTTGATTTTTTTTCAAATTTTGTGTATTTATTAATTGCTTATGGATTGAAATGTGAGTGAAATTTGAGTTGAGATCAATAGTTTGATTAGTATTTATTGAGGTTTAAAATAGCTATAGGAATTTACTAGGATTTATTTGAATTTTCTTAGATTTAATTAGAATTTTATTAAGATTTGATTAGGATTGGTTAAGGATTTATTAGAATTTGATTAGAATTGATTTAAGATTACATTAAGATTTGGTTAGGATTTAGGATTTATTTAGGATTTAATTAAGGTTGATTTAAAGTTACATTAGGATTTAATTAGGATTGATTTGGAATTTTATTAGAATTTGGTTAGGATTGGTTCAAGGTTAGTTTAGGATTTGGTTAGGATTGATTTAGGATTTCATTATAGTTTAATTAGGATTGATTTAGAATTTTATTATAGTTTGATTATGGTTGATTTAGGGTTTGTTTAAGATTTGGTAAGGATTTAGGATTTGATTAGGATCGGTTCAGGATTTTACTAGGGTTCTTTTAAGGTTTCTATATTTAATATTTTTTAAGGAATTTTTAATATTTATTTTAAAATGCAACTGGGTGGGCGCTGCTGTTGAGGAATTTTTTTTGAGTGACGTGCAAGCAGCCACCTCCTGTTGCAGTGCTGCCTGTCGCAATTGCGCAAGCAAAAGAGGCGACCCAACTGGAAGACACTGCTCAGATGCTGCGTTGATTCTTATTTGACCATCTTCAATCAGCTACCACAGCAGAGTGCTTTCTCTATTGAATGCCAATGTCCCAACCTCTCCTTCCTGAATTCTCTGCTCCGTCATGCACTTCTGACGCTCCCCATTTAAGTACAAATAGAATAGGATGAAAGTCCAAAGGGAGTGTATTCAATGCAATTGGACATTAACAGAATGGAAAGCATCTAAGCCACTACAGAATGAGAAGTCATCAACATCAGTACTGTTCTGTGAGAATTTAAAACACATCACTGATAAACTTTTAACAATCAGCGTCATATTTAAGCACGAGAGTCATGAAACCGAAATTGCAAGTAATTTTAGTAAAGACAGAAAGATCAAAAAGAGGACGTAGCATGAATAAGATATACAAAAGACAGTGAGTTCAATTATAATCAACCCGAGCATATGTTACAAACAAGGAGTTCTATAATCATGGATTTACCCTACATGCTCAATAACATAAAAACGAACAAGCCATCCTACCCTGGCCTAGAAATAGTGAGGACCAGGTAATAAGGAGGCACTATATACACCAGATAGGATGCTTTTAAAAAATTGATAATTGAAAAAGGGTGAGCGTGTCGTTATCTTCCAGAAATTGCATCCCTTACAAAATCGTCACAGCTTGTGCAACCTCCCGTTAAAGCGTCGGACAAAGCACCCATAATATCAAATGCTTCCTGCACATCGCCCGCGCCATGCATTTCTTCAAGCCACTCCAAAATTTCCTTAGAAAAACCAAGCATCGCACCCACGTCCCGAGTTCTCTCTTTCATAGTCACCTCCCAAGGCTCGACCCCTATCTGGCTAGCTGTTGCTTCTTTAGTATTTTCAGCTGTATGTACCTCCGATTCTTGGGCTTTTATAGAGCCACTTTTAAAAAGGTGCTGCAACTGATCTACTAAACCCACATACACAAGCATGGGGTGAGCTATAATGAAAAGTTGTTCAGTACTCAACGCCCCATTCTTACTAGCGTCCTGTTGACTAGAATTCGGGGTCTTGAGTTCTACGGAAGGTGACTGAAGAGGTGAGGAATCAAGCGCAGTTAAGGGAGAAGGAAGAGGTGGGGCAGGAAGTAGAGATCGCCCTTGCTTGAACATCACGTAAGCATGGGCCAAACCACGCCGAATAAACGTTCGACGAAATCGCTGCCACTCGTCGATGGATTGCACTAACAGAGACTGCACCATCATGAACTGAACATTTTCTTCTGAATTTGATCCTCGCTGGGGTGTGGTAGGAGTGCCGGGTTTCAAATCTGACCCCCCCTCTACAGACTCGGATGATGAAGTAGGCGACAAGTATGTCGCCAAAGATTTGGCCTGGATACGGCGTTGGCCGGCACCTCCTTGGTCCAGTAAGTGCCGTGCCATCTGGATCATGAAAGGCAACAAACGGGAGTTGCTCTCTCGTCCCCCACCCTTGCAGTCCACACTGAAGGACATGTTGGTTGCAAATCGACCCAGCATCTGATTTAAAACCAAAAAGCTTCTAATTAAATGGTGAAATATTTACACAAAAAGTCACCACGTATCTTGAACAGTCAAAATGATTCGGGTTTATAATCCTCACAAGAAATTTTCGGCATAAACTTCACTCACTACAAACAACATCTTTACACAGAAAAGTATCTGAAAGGACCTGTGTAAAGCTTACCATGACAATATCGAAAATGAGCAGCCGTAGGCGACTCCCATCTGCACGGCCCAGAGAGTTGAGGCTGTCCCAATATTGATCTACGCATCGAGCGTACTGGGCAAGAAGTACAGAAGGGCCCCTCAGAGGAAAAATGTTATTGCAAAGAGTCTCACTATTGCGCAATGTTGCGCCTTCCCACTCTTTTTTAGGATTTTTCAAGGATGCATCTGCTCGTTTAGCTTCTTGGTGGCACTGAAAGTGTATAACGTTGAAGTGGCTCACGGTTGTGTATATCCACTCACTGCGTTTATGACTGCTCACACCCATTCCTACATTCACACGCTTGCTGTAGCAGTATGTTCCAAGCATATCTGTTGGACGCAACAGGTAACCCTCCCTGCAAACCATACACGCCAACCCTGCTTCTTCCTCCTCCACCTCGTCCATACCTTCAATATGCGGTTTTGATACCACTATGCGCTCACCACCGTCAAGCCGTATCTCACGCCGCATGCCCAAATCCTGTGAGATGAAGAGTATTAGAAACGTACATATTGATTGTAGTTGGTGTTGTAACATACTGACAAAAAGATTCAACAGTCCAAGAGAAACACTCTTCAACAAAATCAAACACAACGACAAAAACAGTATAGAACTGTGACACACCTCGAGCAGCTCTTGTCGTCGTCGTAGAGCACGTCGTCTCATCTCATCACGAGTAGAATTGCGAAGTTGCACAATTTTCTCTGATAGAAATCCTTCGTTGATTCCTTCTTTATCGGCAAGCGTATCCATCAGATTTTCAGCTCGAGCACCTATTTCGTTCTCCCCTGGAACTCCTTCAAGTCCATGCAGAAGAGGTAAAATCCCTTCGTTATCTAAATATTGTTGAGTTACCAAGTGGCCTCTGGAGAGGCCCCGCAACATTGATAAAATTATAGGAACGGACGGCATTTCCAAAGCCTGCACCCATTCTGGTGTCGCTTTCTGATCCAAGCCTTTTTCTTGAACTGGGAAGGCCCTCTTCAAATACTGGATAGCAGCTGATCGCCACAAACATGCAGTCATGGTAATAAGAGATGTATACCGTTTAAGACTACCAATATAAGGAAACATAACATTCATTGCAGGATAACAGCGACTGAACATCCAACAGAAAGCTACCAGGTCTCTAAGAACATCACTAGTTTCATCAGTTTCACACAATCAACAGAGTCTAGATTTCAAGTATGCAAACTTAAAGAAAAAAAATGTTTGACATGAGCATTCCACACGTCCAAAGCTTAATGAAGGAAATCTCAATTACAGAATAAGAATCTAGGGTGTGGTTGTGATCTTATGCGCTAAAACAGAAATGCTACTGTAAGGAAGAGAATTTAAGACCCAAAACAGCATGCATGAAGTGTGAGAGTCAAAATTAGAGTACAAAAATGAGAAACGGACTTGTACCTGAAATGATTCCTTTCTCAAAAACGAGGCTCTTGAGCCTTTCCCCATTGCTATTACGCTTGATAGATTCTGTAACCCGCACGAAATTTGCGAGTGCACGCTGATGCTCAGTTGCCTTCTGCATGACACGATCGTTCTTGGTATTCTCACAGTACAATTTCTGCAAACTATCGAAACTATCCCAATCCATAAGAGACGGTAAAAAGTGGTTCACCAGAACCTCCATGGCAGTCTGCTCTCCATAAGTGAGGAAAGGGAGAATACGAGCAACTGTGTCATTATTCCGCTGTTGCTTAGCTCCCGAGGAGTGAGTTAAACGATCCAAAAACATTTCTACGGCGGCTGCAGCTTGGCCTCCCGTATTTAACTCAACACTCACGTCACTTTCATTAGCCTCAGACACTAAACTCTCAATTATAAGCAAGAGACCTTCAGCTGGTTCGACTGCATCTGTTGAAAACGCTCGCCGGGCTGTCTCTAAAAGGACAGCTAACGCTCCAAAATGAAGAAGAGCCTGCCGGTTGGCCCGAAGCTTGCAGCAATACATAAGCAGCTTCAGCACCAGTGTAAGCTCCTCTTGGCCAGATTTGATTCCAGCGTTACTTAGCTGCTGCAGGGGCCGAATAGAACATATATGAGTACCAGAAAAAGCTTCATTTAAAACCTCGTTTGCTTTGTCATTCTAAATGTCTTAAAAATACACCCTCACTTACAGGCAGAAACATAATTTAATAGACTGAGTTGCTCCTTCGGCAACAAAAAACCACCGCTAAAGTCCATAAAATTGATGAGATAAAGGCTAATTGGGAACCAAGGAAAAAAAAGCTGAATTCACAATTTGTTTACATGAAGAGGACATCCATGAACTTGCAACTGGAAAAGTACCTGAACCTTATTGACTACGATCTCTAGACCTCCACATTCCTGCATCACTCCAGCAATCGCGAACTCAACTTCTGGATCTTGAACTTCTTCACGGTCATCCTCTAGTTCTTTGATCATTGGCTCTATTGCTTCTCCGTCCAATCCCTGCGCATAAGACTTCCTGACATCAAAAAAGTTGCAAACTAGGCCTGTAACCGACCTCAGAAATTAAATGGCAAACCTTCTAAAACAACGACATCTATTACTACTCTTTAGACGGTAAGAGAAGCGTAGAATGATAGGTTGGAGCCAACAAACCTGCAACCGATAAGTAACAGTCATCGGTGGACATTCTCTTCCTGGAGTTGTAGTTGTGCTCTGCAAGCTCGAGACAGCAGCAGAGCTCGCTGCTTGACTGTGAGCCTTTTTCCACACCTGCTCATATACCTGTCCATGGGCAACTTCACAATCAAGACAAGAGACCAAACCAGTTTTCCGATCAAATAGATGGCATGAAATAAGAAACTTTCAGGTTTATTAGCAAAACATGATCTGCTTGAAAGGCTTGGTTGGAGAGAGAGTACCACTAAAGGGCAGTACCGTATGCACGTACAGTAAAGAACCGTTCACAGACTAACATTCAATATTAAAGTACACCAAACATGAATCTCATTCTGCGAGACTTGAAAAGTATAGATCAACAGTCAATACAATGGCAGACAACACAGAACAAAGTACCTGTGCAACACTCAAATCCAGAGCAATGATCCTCCCAGCTACCAAAAGCTCCATACCATAATCATCCTCTATAAGCCCAAGAAGTTCCAGTTGCCGACAGATTTTGTTTTTCACATCACGCATTAGAGGTCCAATCTCTAGACTGGAATACGGGTTTTTAGTCATAGAGCCTCGAATAAATTCCTCCTGAGTGTGTGCCTTATTGAGGACCATCATGTAAGCTGGTTCAGGTTTTGTAGGACAGATAATATTACACAGCTGCTCCAAAATAAACTGCAGACGAAATAATTGAATTAGTTTTCATACATTTGCATCATCCACAAAACAAAATTGTCAAATTGAAGTTACAAACTGCATGAAGCACGGACGATGGTGTTATAAAACATAATCGTTCTACTTCAAAAGAAATTATATTTCCAAATCCAGCAGATTTGGATACATTTGGGACACAAAAAATCCAGTAAAACTCTAGTCTCTTCTCTTACAAGAGGTATTACCACTGGAGAGCGACCGTTCCTGTCCCGACTAAGGCCAGAGACACAGGCACGGATAAAATGACGTTTGTTCTCGTAGCTTTCTTGAAGTAGACTGTCCAACAGCTCCCGCATGAGCCGCTCACAGTCACCAATAAGCTTGGTCTTCTGCACTACTAATCCTTTAACTGCTAACAATGCCTCCAATATTCGAGCAAGCAACTGCTCCTTCATGAACCTGTTATTATTCAAGCGGAAAAAGCGAATCAAGTTAATATAGCTCATTAAATGAGCAATACACAAGTCTTACCTACAAGATAATTCACGTACTTTATGTTATTGCAAAAGGAAACCGCAACTGAGAGCAGCATACATGCAGACAATTCCTTGCAAGTACTACAACATACAAGAAGTAAATTATTTCCAAGGATATTTAGATGAGAAAAGAAGGCAAATGTAAAAGGTATGCAATAAAGTCTAGGACACCAGAAAATAGTATTACTTTATTCTGATGTTAGGCAGCTGTAGAAACTTGCTGAGAAGTTCAATGAGTTTGTGAAGAATGTATCCCTGCGAAATATCTGTATGTGAGCTCCTTTCTTGAGCCTCAATTCTGCTAACTTCGTCAGAAATTAAAGCGCTGGTAGTGTGCAGGAAACCACGGACAGTAAGGTACAGGCGGGAATCTTCAGGTTCCACCATCTTGAATAGGAGCTCAAAGTAATCAGCTGCACTCTCACCAGCAGCACATGTTGCTGGTAACAGGTTCATAAGCAAGTTCAGAAACCGTGATCGTCGTACTGGGCTCTGGGCACATAAAACTTCAATAAGTCTACACATTTCCAAGCGCAAGGCTTGAGAACATGCACTAAGAACGATCTCTTGCACCCAAGAGCTCTCTTCAAAGGCTGCCAACTCATCTATGACGGACACTCGGCACGCTTTCCGTCGCCACATTAGTGAATATTTCAGTGCAAGATAGTCTCCATGCTTCGAGTCTTTACGAGGCTTCCGGCGTACAACACTTTCAGGGGCCTGAGAGATCATAGATTGTCTCCTACTAAAGTCAAGGTATGTTGCACCATTTCTCCACTCAGCGTAATTTACTAGAGATATGTCGTGATCTTCTAAATCCTGGTTTGACTTCTTTTCCATAAGACCAGATGGATTGAGCTTTTTAGTCCCATTGGTTCCAGAATGTCCTAATTTAGCAGACTCCTCTGTTGAGCGTGTTCGAGAGACTGATAAAACAGCTGTGACAGTGTCATGTCCTGGGCTGCTTTCTAGCCTGGGTGGTGTGCATGCTTGAACTACAACACGCAAGCAGGGAAGGATGATATGGTCTGCTATCATTGGATGGTGTGCTCCAACCTGTAAAAAAATAATCGATTCAGGGCTAAAAGTACAGATTCCAGCACAAGACTGTATACATCCAGATTCTACCTACAAATTGCTGGCGAAACGACGCGACAGTGATAATTACATGGATTAGAAATCATCAGATGAATAGAAACTTAATGAATACCTATCAAACTATAGTAAATGAGACATCCTCAAGGTTAAAACAACACTTTGTATTCACCTTCACCAACTGTGATCAACTCCAATGATTTCATTTCAAACCCACCTGAATGGACCGAAATAAAATCTGAAAGACAATCCGCAAACGCGCTTCCCAAAATTCATCAGTCAAAGAGCATGTCTCAGACAGCAACTGCAGTTCATCTCGAACACATGAAGAAATGTCCATAGAGCGGTGATGGTCCACGCAGTACAACGTTTTCTCTTTAATTAACTGGTTGAGCTCCTGAAGTGCCGCAGAGTTACCTTCAGAGAAGGCACAAAGAGCTGCTCGCGCCTGAATACGGGCTGCTTTGGGACCTTGATGAATGTTGTTTTCAAAAAGCTCCCTGACGATTCCAGCACTAACCAACTGTTCCCGAATGTTAGATTGCTTAGAAAGAACTTGTAACCACTCAAGGCATTGACCAACGAATGTGTTAGCACATCCGAAGCATTTATTAGTAGGACGTGGGGCCATAAGATCTGGCGAAGAATTAGATAACCTCTTCCGTTCCAAATAAGTCATCAATACACGGCGTAGGCCCTGCAAAGTCTGCACACTCTTGCTCACAGAATCAAACGCCATTTTGCACTTTTCAGCATACAATACCCCAAGAATGGCAACCTTTCTGCTTATCTTATAGGAGGATGGCCCAGGCAAAGACACTAACATTTGCTGTACAGACTCCTTCTGTTGAGAATCCGTCTCGGTCTCTCCAATGCTCGAAACAAGCTTTAGCAAGGGCTTCTTGAAACCAAGTAGTTGTTGATACTTCCTGTGAGCGTTCTCTGATTCTGATTCAATAGCTGCCAATCCCTTTTTCATATCCTCATCATTCTCCATATGATCGAATGTGAAGCTGGGTTTCGCCATAAAATTGAACTCAAATCGTCCATACTTGCTGTACCCGCATTCATTACAAAGAAAGGAATCCAAATTTTCGTAGTTGATGTTGCGGCATTGTCGGCATTGATAAGCATTTTCGTGGCAATTCCCACAGATGCCATGCTTATCAGTAACATGGCGACTGCACCTAGGGCATTGAAGTGATTCCAACGATGCTGCTTGAATATTTTCATAAAATGTGTCAAGTTCAATCATTAAATTGCAGGCTATAATAGGAATCAAAAATTCCACTTTCAACTCAGTCTGGTTAAATGCAAGATGGCAGCTCCGAGCCCGCTTCCACAATGACCAATTGTTTTTGAGCTCTGAAAGATCAGCAACAGCCCGGTTGTTGTAATAAAGATTCAATGTCTTTATCGACTTTGAACGACGTGCATCATGTACGTTCATCATCACACTCTGTATAGTGTGACTACCAACACACTTGACCAATATTCTGTTATCTGTAAACTTGGTTTCCGCCTTAAGACTATCCAACTTCATGCGCGTGTGCGGCACTTCTGGACTGCTGCATGCCAAACAAGGCTCACTCTCCAAATAATATCCATCGAACTCCACAAGGCTTGTTAGAGTATTATATATACGAGAATTTGGATGGTTGGCAAGAAGTTCATTTTGTGCACATAAAGCTCCAAATATGTGCTTCACCACATCTCCAGTCAAGCAGCTTCGAACTGCACTTGCTTCCTCTGAATTAGACTTTGAATCATGATGTGGATCTCCTTTCGCAAGAAGCCAAGTAAATAAATCCGTGTATTCCACAATATTGTGTCCATAGGATGGCAACACAGGAATTTTTTCCAGCAAACATTTCAGTAAAAGAACTCGAAAGGACTGCTTTCCGTAATTCCATGTGCCATGCAGCACAGCCTTGGCTTCGAACCGAACGGACGTAGAATTCCACTCCAATAAGAACATATCGATGAAGTTTTTCAAGACCTTCCCTTCTTCCAGAGAAAACTGCTCAACTGCCATGTCCATGTCCATATGAATGTTATCATGTCCACTCGTATCATCACCACTACTCCGCTTCTTCTTCTTCCCCTCTAATGTGGATGTTCCAGCCTGAGTTAGGGCAGGCACATTGCAACTGCTAACCTCAGCTTGTTCAGAGGATAACTTTCCCGAACCTCCTCCTTCCTTGCCTGTACGATGAGTGGAACATATTTTAAAATTATGCAGATGCAATAGACTACCATAATTTTTCAGCAAAAGGTGAACGAGAGAAAGAACTGAGCAAAAAGATTAAAGTGAAGCTTTAAAAACAGCACCTGTATAAAATACGAGCATCAAAAGCTTCAAGGTTTGCACCACCGACTCCTCTCCAAACGAAAATACGCCCTTCAGGAGAAACTGAACCACATCAATATGCCTAGAACAATGCTTCTGCCAGTTCCACGGTCTCGCTTGCGCAACTTCAACAATAATGGACAAGCATTTCACCAACTTCACGCTCATTTCATAAGGTAAAGGTGTTTGAAATCCATCTGTCTTCTGGGAGAGCTTGTATAATCTCTTCACTTCTCGGCTGAGCTGCCATGCATCCTTAACACTGTAATAATGACTTTTGGTACCACATAAATGCAGTAGGAGTCTCCTCGCATACTTTCTAATGAAGGCAGTCTGTGGATTGTTAACATAGCTGCATAAAACTTCTTGCCACTCCTCAAGTTTCCAGTCTGGGCTACTTAGACTCCTACAGACTGGCTGGTCTTTGTCTCCCACCTTTTCAGGTTTCTCTGTGTGTACAAGGCTGTAAGTAAGCTTAAAGGCACTCTCCACCAGCAATCGGTGATAATCACCAAACAAATCCCCTCTGTGAACCTTGGCATATGAATCGGAGAAAAATGGAGTAAAGCTCCCTGACGCAAACTCCCGTCTTAATGTTAAAAGTGCCCCACAAGCCGCAGTGGTTGTGCTGGACGGGCATTCTTCAACACCTCTAGAAGAAGCCTTCAATAATTGCATCAACTGTAGAATAATATTGTGCAAATAATTGAGTAAAGGCTGCTGTCTCAAGGCTGCACAAGCCCTCACAGACTGAGAGCTTCCCTTAGATTCAAGTTGAGTTTCATGCGGGCGTGATGCAGGTGAAGTAAGACTTGAGCTTGTTGAGCTTGGTCTTGTTTGCTCGGAACCTGGTTGATGCCAATTGCGCAAAACAAACGTGAAAAACATGAAAACAAGAATGCGAACTTCTCCCAAGTTGGACCGAGATTTCACTTGCAAAGGTCTGCTAAGATCCAACTCCTGCAGCATCAGTTTGATAAACAGCTCCAAGTCTAAATCCCCTCCGTTGGACGATCTGTCAACCAGCGGACCTGATGGTGCAGAAGCTAATCTGTAAAACAACTGCATAACAGGTACTGCTTGTGCACCAGATGAGGAGTGCATCCAGCCCTTAATATCAGTAATGAGTTGTTGCAAAAGCAATGAATTCACAGCACTTTTTGATGCTGATATCTCCATGCTCTTCGGCTCCTCGACCAACACCGACTGAGTCACATCGCTGCTGTCATTAGGTACCATAAGCGGCACAGCACTTGCCTGTAGGCTGAGCTCAGTCGCCATCTGAAGCAAGCTCTCATCACTCATTTCATCTGTTGCGGAGAACTGCAACTCGTTCCCCTCTCCGCTATCCACGTCCATCTCAATGGCAATTGCCGACATGGAATGCTCCCTACTATGAGGAGGAGGCAGCTGGTCGGCATCCATTACCTCATAACAACTCTCACAAAGGTCGAAGTCAGGGCACACATTGCAGTGCCAGCGCCTTCTCAATATAGGAACAGTAGAACATCCATCACAACAATACTGCACAGAGGCAGTGCTGGCGTCCTCATCCATCGTACCTTGTCCGGCACCAGCATTATCACCCCCAACTTCTGGAGGTATTGATGGTGGCTTCTGATGTTCAGCTACATCATCCATAGCCAGCATGGTCTGTTTTGGGAGTGGTACCTGCAGTAACCTTGCTGACATAGCCAAGCTGTAATCACCAAGAACCAAAACTCACATTGTTAGTTCAGCAGCAATAGAGCGTCGACTGACTACAGAAGGAGGGAAAAAGTAGTCAAAGGAAAATCTCGCATCGTATATGGTGCATTTAAAATGAGCCTTACTGCAGTGCTTACTAGCCGAACGAGACATGTAAGTTCTCCTAATCATTGAAAAGGAAAGATCACTCGACTCGATAGATTTCGAGCCCTTTTCAATCCGTGAAGGAAAAAAAAAGAACAAAAAAATGAAAAACAAAAATAAACAAACAAACAAACAAACAAACAAACACGCAAGCCAAATGAAGCCGCGACAAACCTGCAAGATGTTCGCACAGGTTCATAAGGTGCAAAAAGTAATTTTCGAAGGAAGTATACTGCTGGAGCCACAGTTTTCTGAGGATTCCCATTGTCATGAACCTGCTGCAAGGAAAGACACTCTGCATATCCATATATGATATCCACCATGGGTATCACAAGATTATTGATAGATTGGGCATCGAGCTGCTCTCTTGTCAATATTTCCCAAAGAATCTTCTCGAGATCTTCTACAACTGATGCTCCTGATCGTGCAAGAAACGTATGAGAGTAAGAACATAAACAGAAACCCAAAGTCTGTTAAAAGTTTTCTTTTTTTCTTTTTTTCATACGTAACATTTCAAGCAACTAGAAGATCCTGGAACTCATCAAAAAAATAACTTAGAAATCAGAAGTTGCGTGAAGGTAGATATACCGTGCTGGGCCAGAAAACTGGCCAAATTAGTTTGACGATGTACTGCGATTTTACACACAGCACGCATTTGAACCGAAAACTCCTGAACTGCCCACGATGTAGCAGATCCTCCTACAGCTAATCTTGATAACAGAAGTGGACAGCTTCGAGTAACCGCAGATAATCGCATGTAATCCTTGGCCTGAAAATAGAGAGCAACATCCATCAGGATACGTTCATACTCTTTAAAACAATTTAAAATTACGTATTACGTGTCATTGTCTCTTTTCCAAAATCATCACATCATGACCAAAAAGTGATAAGTAAAAAAGTAATCAGCAGCTAAACAATGTACACTGTTTGGAATCTTCGGCACATGCATTTGATAAAATCCAGAATCTCTCGGATGAAAATATCAAAGAAAATGGCCGATGAAGTAGAACTGAATGTTGGATGAGAAACCTGATTATAAGCATCCTTCCCAGGATACAAAGCTCGGAGAACATGCCTAGCTGAAGACTGCAGCAGCGGTTGCCTGTCGTTTTCAAAAACAACATCTAGAACTGACATACAAAGTTTCCGACTTTCTTCATGTCTATTAGGTGCGAATTCTGCCTTGAACTGAACCCGACATGCCAAATAGTAACTCTGAAGGAGCAGCAAACTGTCTGATAACAATTGTTCCGTTGGAGATGCATTTTGCATCAATTTCTGTTTAGTTCTATTCGCGCTCGACTGGATTAAGGCAGATCCTACTTGTCCTGGGGATTCCAAGTCCAAGGCAGCCTCTAGCTTCTCCTTCCATCCAAATTCATCTTTAGAACGGCCGTAAATTTCCAGACTGTCTATTCTCGGTAGAGAAGATCCACCAAAAGCAGGCCCAATAACAAGAGTAAACTCTTCGTCAGCCAACAATGCCTCCGCGTTGGAGAATGGAATATCATACCAGCAACGAACACTTTCCTCCAGCCTGATGGACCTTTGAAAAACGCTAAGTTCTGAAGGGATATGACTTGCAGAGGTATTACCAACGTGCACCCGGCAACCCACCATGACAAGGTCGGGGTTGGAATTGAGTACGAGAATCTGCACGAGCGAGTGCGTCAAATGAGACACATAAGTCAAATAAGCAACAATGATGTAAAAGACACCTAAGGATGCTACCACAGGTTCATCATGATAATATAGATTGGAATACTTCTACCTTCCACATTCACAAAGCAACTGTAGTCTAGGAATACCTTAAACCCGGATGCATTGGGACCTTCTAAAAATCCGTCTTCAGTTTGCAAACATAACTTTACACCATCTGAATCATTATTTAGAAGAATGTCTCCACCCAACTTAACGTCTGCTGTAATGCACGTGGTTTTCTCAAAAAAATCCAGGGGAAACACAGGAGCAGCACCATCATGATTTGCTCGACTGTCCAAAAGAGCAGTTCCAAGCTTCTTCACTTGCTCAGGCTCCAAGCTTCCAGCCTGCTTCTGACTGTCAGTACCAAGTAGACCATTCCCGGTCGCCCGTGACACCGACACGTACGAGAACACTTGCAAGCTCCCGTCATCGTGAAGCAACAACACGCTGTTTCTTTCTTTGCTAATGGGGCAATACGACGCAACGCCATCAACCCGCGAGGACGATGAATTACCAATTGTTTTTAAAAGCTGGGAGAAAGTCTCACTCGCTCCTAGTTTTACAGCAACCGCTGTATTGGATCTTTGACTGGATAAGCACACAAATAAGCCATTACCTTCAAACAACTCCTTCCAATAATGCAATCCTGAAGCCCTAATTTTGCCATCTTGCTCTTCTACTACACTGGCCACCTCCGAAAGGCTAGTAAAACCAGAATTCATATGTGCAATTAAAGTAAGATTGTCACTGTAAGACAAGAAAAGCAAATTCAAGGCAGCAGAATAATGTAATGATATCCCCTTCAAGAGCTTATGGCCTCTAGGAATTTGAATGTTTTCAGTCAAAATACGGGCCCCCGCGTCACAGCCAGTAACTTGCTGTCTATATAAGATGCCTTGCTGAGAAAGGACAATAGCAATTAGCTGCCGTTGACCAGTAGAAACTAAACAAGCATCTGCAATGGAGTCCTCCAAAACCATAAAATAATGAGTTGGACTGAATTTGTCCTGGGAAAGGTCATATATCTTCACGAACTTATCGGTAACAACCATTAGTTCAACTTGCGAACCAGGGACCCAGGCAATTCGACGTATGTATGCATCTTGAAGAGCTAGCTCTACAGCCAAACGATCAGTTACTTCTCCACGAGGGTTGACGGTAAAAACCTGGCAATCGTCATAACCCGCAACTGCCAAGTAACTTTCGTTTGCAGTGTTGAATGAAAGCTGCACCACTTCAAAGCGTACTACATTCTTTGATAAAGGCTTGACTGTAGCCTTATCAACGGTAACAGGAAGTGCAGTTGGTTGACCAATAAGTTGTCCAACATCAAAAACGGTTACTTTATCTCCTTCTCCAGCCGCTAATCTGCCTCGGCTGCTGATTGACAACAGAGATTTCACAAGCAAGCCGCTGGCCAGATGAGACTTAAGTTCCCGTGCATTAGGATACTCTGTTTTAATTTTCATGTCCATCGACCCGCTCTTGTAAGCCCTCTTCAGATGAAGAAGATCAGTTTTAAGATTCAAATTTACGTCTTTGGACAAACATGGCTTCTGGTCATCGTTCCTTGTTGAGCTATGACCTAAATTTAGATCACCGAGCAACCGTTTGCACAAAGATAGAACCTGTTCTTCAACATCCAACTCCGAAAGCAAAGTCAAAAGACGTTTCTCTTCACCTTCCACAATTGAAACTTTGAAAGCAACTTCTCCGGCCACATGGGCCACTTCAATATCAGAATCACTGTCAGACAGAGGAAGCTGACTTGTGTGAGTACCAAGTGGCAAGAAGCTTTCAGTAGCGCTAGTTCCTGTTGACGGAATAGCGTTCGAAGACGAAACGTATTTCCTGGGTTTCAAGCAGAGGCAGGTGCTGCCTCTGACGCTTCCAGCCCCGCAATCACAAAAAAACCGGCTGAGACGAGAGTATACAACCTTGTGTCCCTTATGACAGACCCTGGCACAAACAGAGCAGCATCCCTTAGAGACAGTCAAGTCGCAGGTATAACAGAAGTACCAATGCTGCTCCATGAAATTGCTACCACTGGAAGTAAATGTGCAAACACTTGAGGCCAGCGCCCGTTCACTGTTACTGCCATTGTCATCATCATCACGGTCCAGACTTGCAATTTCACCATCCGAGGTTGCGTCGTCTTCATCTTCGTCTACTGACATTGCATCACAATCACCAGCTCCCGCGCCTGGCTCCTGAGAGGTTGGCGGCAGCTCTAAATTTTTATGATACACCGACTGTTTCATTTTTGCATTCGAACTTAAACCACTAAAGCTGTCATTATTTACTCCATGCTCAGCAAACAACTCCATCCTGTTGCCACCACAAATACTCAAGATAGAGTTCAGAAAGGAAACCATAGATTTCACCCCTTCCAAATGTGAGTCATTTACAGGCAACTTCCTGACAAGTTCCACCACGGTTCGCAGCAACCGCTTTAAAGACAAATCGCCTTGTGCCAGTTGAACAATCAATCCAAAATATGATTTAGCAGCCACTACATCCAAGGTCACAAAAGCCCTTTCTAGATTCATCAGCATCGCTGTTAGCAAATGAGAGTGGAGCCTATGTCCCTGCCCCTCGGGAGAAATAGGCACAAGGGATTGAACAAAACTAGAAATGAGATCCCTGACACCAGAAGGTGCTGTCCGCTTCACAGACTTGTCCTCATCGGCATCACTAATCCAGCCGAAAAACCGTTGCTCAAGCCACCCAGCTAAACTGACTGTATCCATTTGAAGAAGCTTTTGCTCCAGATCCATCTTAGACCTAAGGTCGTATCCAAGTAGGACAACAAGAAGTTGTAAAGACTTTACGTTCACACTTTCGATGGTACAGTTATCCAGAATATCTATAAGAAGTGAAATATCTCCCGAACCCACAAGACTTTTGCATTTGCGCAAAATCTTCACCTTTTTCCCCTCCACACATGCCGGTTGCAGTTTAGAGTAATAAAGTAGCAATGCCTCCAATCTGGAGGGATCGCTGTAAATATTGTTGTGAACATCAAGCACATGCAAAACAAGGGCCTCCCAAACTGTCTCGTCAACTTCGTCCCTCCTTTTGCAAAGAAGCTGTAAGAGCTTCTGTGCATGCTTTAGCTCATTCAAGTCAGAGTACAAGGCCTGCTCTTCTTTAAGAGGTATCAAAAGATCCAGTAAAACAGCGCACTTTGATTGCATGCTTCCAAAAGTACTGTCAATTTTCATTACCAAAAGTGTGTTCAACAGTCCATCCAAGACCTCTTCCTGCAGAACCTCTCCATCAAATACTCCATTACCATCCCGAGCATGAAGAAGTACTTGAAATGAGTCCAAGACCGCCACTATGCACATAATTGCCGACAGTAAGGCCGCGCTGCCGACCTTGGAAAATGATGGAAACCCATGATATAGAGCGGGAAGCATAATGGCTTCAAGACCCTTCAATTTCTCCATGTTGGGCCCCAGGGAAAGCGTCAGATGCTCGGATAACCATGCACTCTCTGCATCCCATTTGACCAACGAATGCAAAATCGTAACATTTACACCCATAGCTCCTAGAAGGCCCTCTTGCTTACTCCTTGACAATCCCCCTTGTAACAGTACATCAATAGAGAATATGGATGCCTTGCAGGATCGCAACTCTACCAGAATATGTGACACCGAGTCTCGCACCAGATTCACGTAACAATTCAGTAACACAGATAAGATTTGCAAGAGGTTCCGTGAATGATCATCCTTGGATAAAAAGTCCATTGTCTGTTTGATAAAAGCCGGTAGCTGGGTCTTTTTTAAAGACATATCCTCTAAGACATTCCTTTCTACCGTGACTGTCTCTCCAACTCGGAGTAATGACAGCAGCACAGTCAACGCAGACCCCTGCCTCAATAAATCCCAAGACAGAAGTTTAAACTGACCTTCACAGAGAAGAGTTCGCACAGCAGACAGGTTGCGTGTCAAAAACCCCGCCCATTGATGTGCAACAAGACTTGTATCACTAACACCTGGTCTAAGCAGAGTTTTCGTGAGGCTCAATAACAAATCCGACTTCACATAATCCACATTGAATTCCCCTGCTGCATCAGGCTTCAATGAAGGGCTTAAGCAGCATATTGTGCTCCAGCCCATCACATATACATGCCTTTCAACCACCAACTCTTCCACAATTTTGAAGGACCTGCCCTTCCACATACCCAAAATATCACTAATTACTTGGCAGATGTCGTTCATATCCAAATCAATATCTTGAAGCGCACTATTATTCAAAGATCCGTTTATATCAACAAGCTGCTGGATAAATATGTCGTCCATGACACGCTCTTCCTTGGATCCGTATTCCTTAAAAATATTGTGGGCAACAAGACCTGCCCATGACTGTTGAGGATGATCATCTCCTGATGCATTAGAGCTTGTATCTAAAAAATTGACCAGCAGCTTCCGACGCAAGTGCACCAACAGCCACTCTGGAAAGGAATCAAAATGCAGAACCAAGTACCGCAATGCCAACAACAATCTTGATACTAGCAGGGACCACATTAAAAATGGTCTGCCGGGAGATGGATGTCTCTCGGTATTCCTAAGAAGCTTTAAGGCAACCAATAAGTTCTGTAATATGATAGACCTTCCAGGACCATCTAATGAATGGAAGGCCATGAAGAGAAGCTCCATCTGGAAGAAGGAAGGCAGGGCCTTCTTGATATTCAATTCACCAGATCTGCCACTCAGGGCACTAAGAACATAATCCAGAAATGTCTTCCAAAAATCAAAAGCTAAGGGGTCGTTCTGGGTGGAAGTGCCTCTTCGAATCGACCGCTTAACAAGCAATTTTCCAAATAAACTGCAGCTCTTTGCAGACAGAGCACTGAAGGCATCTCCTCCTCTCAGTATCTGCGTGGCAAGATGCAACTCCAAAGCATCATTTAGAGCATGCCTAATCACAAGGGTGTTGAGCAAGTCAAAGGATCTCTCATGTAGTTGACCCAACAAGTCAGAGGCAATATCTTCAGAGTCCACCACATCGAAACCAAGTGCGTCGCTGTTCATTAGACTAGATTGGGATAGATAAATCTGCAGGAAAACATCCAGATTTTCCTTCGACAGCATCTTACAAGAGACATCGAACGTCGGTTGATGCCACTCGGAACAGAACAGACAATTTTTCAGAAAGCTTAATAACAAATTGGCTACTTGGAGAGGAGTACTGTGAAGGGCATCCAACTTCTTTCTTGAGGTACAGGTTGACGCAAACCCCTCTGAATTCATCAAATGTCGTCCAGATTCCGAAAAAAGATCTCCAAACAGCGCATCATCCTCACTTGCAACAGTAACAGATTCCGTTGATCCTACAGCAGATTCCTCTTCACTGCGCACAGATGAAGCAGTCCCCAAGATTGATCCCTCTTTAAGGCCTTGAGCGTGAAAGAAGGCCGTCAAAGCCACTAGATTGCCCAGCCAGTGGCCTTCATTTGGAAAAACAACCTGCAACTGCTCTTGTGGACTGAGCACCTGATTCAAGTCGAACTTCTTGTTGTAAATCTCACAACTAGGCAAATTTTGAGTAAACCTTTCAGTTTGACCCCGAGTAAGACCGACTGCAGGAGCTGTTGGTTGCAGGTGGAATATTCCATGTGCGTGAGCATGAATATCCTGAATAAGACCTAGAAAATGGCTAATTACATGTGAAGTGTGCGCCAACGATAGTTGTTGCTCAAAAAGCGGACCATGTTGCTTTAAACTAGTATCTAGAGTGTTCAGCATCGATGCCGCTACAAAACATTTGAAGTTTTGCAAGACGATCCTATCCGGGAAGATTACTTCTGAGAGCCGAAGTAAACTATCTAATAAAGAAGGAAGTGAGCTGCCTTGGTTGGAATCCAGCATTATCTCAGGCACAGAGCTACTCGATTCATAAATGTGTTGGAGGAAGACTAGCAGAGTTGAAGCAAATTCCACTAGCTTTGTGCCAACCTCCTCGTCCAAAAAACCTGCAACGTGCCCTCTGGAAAGATTCAACAAAAAGTTCGCTATACTAGAAACAAGAGCTATCCTGCCCTGCAATAACCTGTTTCCCTCATCCTTGGAAACTTTACCGCAACCCACTAGCGATGCTTGGCACACCTCTAACAAACGTGGAATACATCGGATCTGTTCAACAGCAAACTGACGCGCTGCAGCCACCATGCTACTCCCGCTCTTCAACACCATTTGCAAATGCTCACCCTGAGAACCTCTGCTCAGCTCATGAACAAATAGATCCTCGGTAGCCAACAATGAAAGTATAGTTTGTGACGGACCCGCCACCTTCGGGAGTCCAAAATGGCTCTCCTCTGCACAGAAGATGAAGAGAATGCGTACCTTGTTATGCATCATAATCGTTGGCAACAGCACACAAGGTTAACAACCAAATTTGAACACAAAGAATGACAGATAAACTGTATACAATACTGTGAACGTGCTCGAAGAATTACCCCACTGCAACTACCAGCCAATGCGGCATTTAGGTACCGCGATAGGCTTTTTCAAATCCCATATAATTATGAAACTCTAAGAATTAACACTTCAATTTTCAAACAACAGCATTAAATAATTCAACATGGAAGATTTGACACAAGAAGGCTTACCTCCAAAGGTTCGCCCCATCACGCCAGTTGAACTCTTTCCAGAGGAACTCGGAACAGGAGAATCAAAGAAAGGCACTTCAGCGGTAGCGTTATCCAGCGATTGCAATATATGCGAACTCCGCTCCCCTGCATTTCCTTCAATTATGGCGATCTCCAAGAGTTCGAGTAACCTGTGTTGCATCTGCAAGAATGATCTTAATTTTCACTCTTTAACCCTGGATACTATGGAAACGGATTAGGATACTGACCGTCAACAAAGACACAACCACAACCTGATCAAGATGGATGCACCATACAAAATAAATTTGTATAACAAAATTTCTCTTTCAATCTCCCATAATAATGGAAAAACACATCGTTCATATTCCAGCTACTTGACAGCCCTGTCAAAGGAAACAAAAATTCTGCGAAATCAACAAAAGTTCCATCGAGTAATTAAACTATCCAACGTTCCATATTGAAACCCTAAAATATAATGAAGGAAATCAGGTAAGCAGGGAATCATGAAATCAGTTATCGATTTGCCGCCATCGTAATAACTGCCTCGATGCGAACAAGCAAATCACAAAGGGGAAAACACTCAATAACAATTCGAAAGAAACAATAATACCACTGAATTCATTAAATGCTAGCGGATTTCCGAAACGGGGAGAGATGGGCAATGACAATTGAAAGGTTCTATTCACAAGTGACAACGACAACTAGGACAAACGGAACTCAAAGTTTCACAAAGAAAGAAAACGCCTACAAAAGGATCACACAGTGTGAAGTGTCCACACCTTGGGATACACACTAGCATCAGTTCTGGACAACTTGAAGGCATCCGTCTCCCCGGGGCCTGCACTATGACTGCCTTCACAGAGCTCCGACACAAAATACTCAAGCCCCTGCAAGCAGATTTGAACTGCAGATCTGTAGATCTGCTCCAAGATCGCTTTGTCTTCTCCATCTGCAATCACAGACAAAAATCTGACACGTCACACTCTATATCACTTCCTACAACCACGACGAGCTTCAGTGGACCAGAATCCAGAATGCCATCATACCACATCAACACCAATTCATCTAATTCAATTTCTTCTCGAATTAAGAAGCCTTCATATCCAATCAATTGAATCTGGAATAACCTAATTGACCAAAACCTGCTCCCGAGACAACAAAAAAAAAAAAAAAAAAAAAAAAAAAAAAAATCACATCCACAATTGCAACCGAGCTCTACACCATCAATCATCCCCTCACCACCAACCTGCGATCCAATCCCAAGAAGTGCACAGTACGGCCTCGACAATCGCCAAAGCAAAATCCACCTGCTGCTTATTCCACTGCCACAACCCCGCCCCCTGTACATCCACGTCCACCCCTCGCATCAGCAGGGCCTGAAGCTCAGCTAATCCTGCCTGCACCTCCGCATCCTTTACCCGCTCTTGAAACGAGCCCCCGGGCAGCTGCAACACCTCCACCAACTTCCGCAGCGTCCCCATCCCTCATGCCCGCCACTCCCCTCTACCTCACACTATCCACCACCACACTTTAGGAGATCGCCTCCCCCATCGAAACCAATGCTGCCCCGGCAAATCCACTACTCTCCACAACTCCAACCCCTCCGAACAACAACCAGACAGACAATCCAATACATGACACGAAGAGATGTCAGTTGCTACCCGGGTAGCCACACCTCTCGGACGGGACCAGAATCCCAGGATGCAGGCGATGCCTACAGCAGCAGATGCATCGGAAGCGGGCGATGGAGGAAGGACCTACAGGAGCTGTGTGAGAGGAGGATTCAAGGGCGAGTGGTGGTAACAGCGTTGGCTCATAAACTGGGAACGGCCATAGCCACCCACACCCGAGGCAGCCAGCTTCCACGTTATAACATGAGAAGCGAACCCTGTTGCCATGGTCTTCTGTAAACTTACCGCGGTGAATCGACTTGATCCAACTGCTGGCTCCAGGAAGTTTCCCCGTCCCAATCTCCCTACGACCGTTCTTCGCTGGAACAGTGCCGCCACCACCGCTGCACTTTGTCGCTCTCTCTCCATCTCTCTCTCAAGCTCTCTTTCTCTGTTTGTCTTGCCACGTCACTTGCCAGCGTGGCTGCATTGGTCAAGCGTATTACCGCACGAATCTACATCCTACTTTATTGGAACTAATTCTCTGAAAATTTACTTTGAGAAGAATCCAAACCCTTGGTTCCCAATGCAGAGTCCTTCTCTGTACGTCGGCCTCAAGTCTTGAATAATTGATTATTTTTTTCTTTATTTTGTACTCAGAAAAGCCAGATGATGGAAAAATCGCTGAAGTAACAAATAAAAATAAATAAAACCTAAATCATCTTACTAAGTATTCATATTTGTTGCAAACAATCCATTTGTGATATGTTTTTTGAATACGAATCACACGATGTTGTGAAATAATGGAAATGTCTTAATCAATGTTTTTGTGTCACTTCATAGCTGTTGCAGTGGTATTGTTGTACTCTAATAGTAACAGTTTTGTAACACAATGATAATGGCTGATATAAATGGGCAGTTGGTTTTGCATACTTATGATTTTGCAGAACAATTATTGTTTCATTCCATTTAGAATGATCTCAAGAGTATATCAAACTTTCAGTTACAGAACTGTTACATGTATACCGTGGTATGAAATGGTAAAGGTTGTGTGAATGTGATATTTTGTTACAAAAATTTACTCATTTTATCAACAATTAAGAAAATAGAGTAATACAAACAAATACATTGTTTAAAAGAAGCAAGAAAATTAAATAAATAAAACTAGCACATTGTGTATTAGCATATTAAATTTACATGGAATTTAACTTTGAGTCAAAGTTTTACAAAAGTCAAAGTAAATCAAACTAATAATAAAAAATATGATTAAAAAATATTATAGTTTAAAAAAGATCTCAATATATATATATATATATAATTGCAAGAATTATTTATACACAGTATTTTATAAATGTTACATGAACAAAAAATTAAAATTTACAAAATCTGTCAATAATAAATTTTAAAATATATGAATTTAAATCATAAAACTTAAAGTTAAGTATTAAGTTATTATATTTATATTTATATATATTTAGATTAAAACATATATATATATATATATATATATAATCAATAAAATATTTACTATTAAATAGAAAGAAATTAAAGAGTCTTGAATCAAGACAAAAATATGATGATAGTGTTGATAAAACTTAGAATGGTTTCAACCTTGCCTCAATATGTACTAGCTACCAAAAAGACCATGCAGAAACTTCTCAAAGATGGTAAGACTTATAAGCCAAGTGTCTATGATATTAGATACTTCTATTGTAGCTTCTTAGTTGTACAAAACTTCTAATCGAATTTTTAATAGCCAAGACACATTTAGAAACACTTAGAATTGGAATCCATATTTAAAAAACTTCTATAATATTTTCTTGAAGAAGATATCATCTACTTAATATATTTTAATTTAATTTTAGATTTTAGAGTTTTATTTACTTCTATTCTTTATACTATTTAAATAATATATTTTTTCATAAAACTTTATATTATTAAAATAAATTAATAACTATTTTTTTTTAAAAAAAGATACAAATATTTATTGTTTTATTAAAGGATTTACATGAATTTAAAAACCTTAGCTGCAAAAGTTAAAAACTTATTCAAGAACCACAATTAAAAATTTATTTGATAATATCAAATATTAAGGAGTAAAACTTCTTTAGCATCTTAAGATTAAAAACTTCAAAAGAATTACTTTTGGAGCTAACGTAGACATTTATTTTTAACATGATATCAATCAAAATACAATAAAATATTTTCTTCGAGATATCAAAAGACATATGTGGTATAATTTAATTATTACAAATAGAAATTAATTTCTTCTTTTAATGTTAAAAACTTATAATAGATTTGATAAATTCTTATAAAAAAACCTTTAAATATTATAAATGTTAATCAACCAATATTTGGCATAAACTTATGATAAAATTTGTCTTCTTTACTACTTTTGGCTATAAAAATTAACTTTATTTAAATTTTTTCAACTTCAAATATTTCACTTTTAGATCATAGAAATATTAGAAATTTATCTTTTAGTTTTTTAAAAAGTAAAAAAATAATTCTATATAATTTTATTAACTAAAAACAACTATGCATATAATAGTAACAAAGTGTTATTTATTTTTTTAAAATACTAGTTTCTATCTTTTAATATTTTATTAATATTAAAATTTATAGATTAATTTAGAAAAAATTCAATATGATATATTTTATAAATTTTATTGAATATTTAAAAACCATATAACTATAAAAATAATAAATTGTAATAAAAAATTTCAAATGAGCATTTTGATGGATCTTAAATATCTAATCTATAAAAAAAAAGGTAAAATAAAAACACTCTTGTTGAAATTACTTTAGAATGATAAAAGAATGACAATCTAATATTATTGTAAATTTTTTTGATTTTCATGAAATTATTTCGCATGTATACAGTTTGAAAATGTAAAAGAATTCTATTTATAAATCAATTTCCAATCCAAATTCAAGCTCAAAAGTAAAACTTTTTTGAAAAAAGAGAATTAATTTAGTAAACATAATTACAACATAATGTGTAATTTAGTAAACATAATTATAACATATAAATGTGTTTTCATGAATTTTATTTAATTAATGGAAGATGCTATCCTTTGAGCTACAGAATTGGTTATTGAATGAAGATAGTCCCTGTTCACACTACTACGTTGCATGGCACATCAAATACGTTTGTATATAAATATATACATATATACATATATATACACAAAGACATATACTATAGCGAGTTATTTAATTGATTGGCATTAACGCATGGTGTATGATGGAGCCTGCACGGAAGCTCACGTTTCCCTCCAGTTCCCTTCCAAGAAGACCCATTCTTGTGAAGAAATGGAGGTTGCAGCAGCAGCAGCAGCAGCAACAGCAGTGCCGGTGGGTATTCAAAATCTCACACATCCAGGAGCAACTTCCAAGTCGTTCTTTTCTCATGTTTATACTATTATTATTATTGTTATTTGCTCTGCTTTTTGTTTAGGTTTGTGTTGCAGTTGTGAAGACGTTGCAGTGGGCAATCACCGACACTTCAACTGCTGCGGACAATTCGCGTGACGCTGTCCACTCACTTTGACACAATTGTTTTATTCTATTTTAGGTGATTTGAGGTGCCTAATCTGTTCAGAGACTCTAGAGTTCCCGGTTGACGAGGTGGATTGTGCAAGCGATCACTCGAGAGTCGCTCTTTGTGCAGAAAAAACGAGCTAGTCTGTTTGTGCGTGTGTGGTACACTCGAAAAGATAGCGCGACTGTTTTGCATGGTGGTGAGATTAGCGTTTCGTGTTTTGCAAGGTGTAATAAAATTATACTTTGAGTTCGTTGGAAGAGTTACGTAACGTACATGTGAGCATCACCTGCGTGTGGCTGCTTTAGAGGAGGAAGAATGTTAAGCATAGGGAATAACACCCAACATCTCCTATCGAATGACGACGAAGTCAACAATTTTGATGGTTAACTTGGTCATCGATTTTCCATCTGCCCCTCCATGCAATAGTACCCAACACGACGACGCTGATTTCTGAGGACTGATATCAAGTTGTCGTCGAGGGGCATGTGACTCAGTGAGCTTTCTCGTGCATGAGTAGGCATTGTTATCTTCACAAGTGTACGTGATGAGATCGTGTGGATTTGTGCGCAGCGAAGGATTGCCATGATGGGAAAACCGTATGGCACGATGAGTAAGGTCGCTTCGGTGGTGTTCATGCTGATAGCATCAATGGCGTGCGCAGTAACGGCTAAAGAATTCACAGTAGGCGACACCACGGGCTGGGACTTCGCCCCAAACTCGTCCTTCTACAACGACTGGGCCAACGGACTCAAGTTTGTCCCCGGTGATAAGATCGGTAAATCAATTCGTCAAAACCCTGGAACGCTACGCGTTCACGTAATGGCTCGATAATGGGCCACGAGTGCACGAGACCCATAATGAAAGCCTAGACTGATCATTCCCTTCGTTGTCTTCGAACAGTGTTCAAGTACATCCCCAGCGATCACAATGTGCAAGAGGTGACAGAGTCGGACTATGTCTCCTGCAGCAGCCTGAACCCACTGGCGGAATACGAATCCGGCAACGACATCGTCACACTGCCGAAACCAGGCACTCACTACTACATCTGCGGTTTCTTGGGCCATTGCGACCAGGGCGGCATGCGCATGAAGATAACGGTTCGAGGCGCATACGCTCCGCAATCAGTGCATGGCGGCGCTACATCACCCACGGGTGATTTGCCTTCGCCAATGACAGGCATGGATCCGGGACTGCCCAGCGCCGATACGGCGACTGTGCTCCCGCAGGGCAATCACGAGCGTGCGTTGACCCCTGCGGCGGTTCCTGTGACAGTTCCAGGACATTCCGCGGCCTGTTCGTCCCGGGAGCTTGCGATCTTCAAGAGGCGGCGACCCTTTTTCATCCTAATGGGTGGCGCTGCTGCGATCTTCCCTCTATTGTGGAAATGAAATTGGTCGTCTTCCGTTCTTTTCGGCGTATCCTTTGGGTATCTCCTTGTCGGTGGGACGTCCATCAGTGTCGGTGGGTATGCTGGTTCGGCCCGAGCTGCGGTGTCGACGCTCCCATCATAGCTTTCACAGTGAACGTCGAATATTTTTATAACTATTTATAAAAAAATACTCTTTAAGATTAAAACTGGCTGAGAACAGATTATTCATAACTGAGGATGTAAAAGAATTACAGCAGTGTTTTGATTTGATATAATTTTATAGTAGATGAATCAGACTTGGAACTAACTCTGAAAAATCAGGGTGGTTATATATTCTTGTTTTGTGTTCAGGGCAGTTTGTAATTTTGAGGAAATCTGAAACAAGTGATTTGCAATTGATTATTAACTTGTTTCCTGATCCAAAGTTAAAATATTAATTAGAACAAAGACAATGAACTAATTATGTTTATAGTGATTTTTAAAACTCTATCCAATGTTTCATATAATTTTAGTCAATGTATATTTTAAGAAATGTTTTTTGAAATATAAATTACTTAATGTATGTTTGTGTATGTGTATAAATAAACAAACACATTTAAGATGTAGATATGAAGTTTATTAATTACTAAATGATTTTCATTTTAGTATTTATCTACATTAGGGACTAACATCTAACAATTGACTAGAAAGCAGACTGTTATTTTTTTAATTAAAGATTTTAAAACAATTATACCTATTCTGTAAAAGAACTGTATGAACTTGTATGTTTATACAGAAAGTCTGATTTTTTTAATATGAATTAAAAAATTCATAAAAAAGAAAATTTCCAAAAAACAGTGTGGGAAGATTTGTAAAACTTAACATTTTAATCAACCCGGATTATTATTAATTCTTTTTTATTCTAAAATGTAAAAGTTAATGAATAAAAGCCAAATAAAAAATCTTTACAGAATAACAGAATATAGTACAAGCATGCAATATGTAAATAAATTTTTAATATTAAAAAAAACCTATTGTTATGTATATATTGTACATATACTACTGCAAAGACATTCACTTAAAGTTTTTACTTTTTAAAATATTTATAGTTGTATGCTTCAACATCACATGTGTTTTACATCAAAAAAAAATATACATTTTGTGAATTTTATTTCATATAGTAGAACATTACTTATTTACAATTTATTGTGATTAACATTTAATCTTATATAGTAAGCATTTTTAATATAATGATTTGTAATTTATTAGGTATTGTTAAATGTGGTGTTCATTTCTATAGTAACAAAGTTTAATTTTTTTATTTTTAAAATAATCTTTATCAGATTGTGCATAAACTTGATTTTCCTAAGTTCAACCTTTAAAATAAAAAAAAAAATTAAAAAAATCTACAAAAATGTTTAATGTACAAAACCAAATTGATCTAATTCAATGTTTTTAATGATATATGTTTAGTTGCAAATAAAATTGGTTAAATGTCTTGAAAATTTTATTTAATTGTAGAATTGAATCAATTATTGAAAGTTAAATGTATATGCAAAAAAATTTAACTAACACAAGAATTGACTTAATTTATAAACACTACATTATTTTTGTTACACTACTACAACCTAAGTTAAACACAACGAAACTAGAATATTTACAACCAAAGCACAGCATTATAACGAAATCTAATACTGATTATCATCCATTAAAGAAAAAAGAAAAAAAAAAAAAAAAAAAAAACCCATTATTACACAATATGCATAAAATTATTTGTGACGAATCTTATTCATAATACATATTTCTGTTGAAATATTATTTTAATATTAAAAAATTTCAAATGCTTACAATTTTAGAAGATTAGTCTAATAAAAAACAGTAATACACTTACAAGAGCTTTTTGAACTAAGAATTCTATTTTTTAAGCAATTAATAACTGATATATAGAAATGACAAGGATTATATATTTTTTGTGCTTAAAATTTATAAATTTTTTAATATAGTTTCAGTATTTTTAATTTGATTCAATTATTTAATTTTTTAGATGTATTAGATTAAACATGAAGGTTAAACAAGTTTAAGACTTTAAATTATGTTTTTATAATAGATTTGTACAATTTATTGATATTTTAAAATATAGAAATTTAAATTAAATAAAAAACTAACATAAGAAGTATTTTAGCTTACTATGAAAAATTACAACATTGTTATACTTGTTAAAACATAAATTAGAAATTATTTTTGTATATTGATTTTTTAATTTGTTAAGGAGGCACAATAAAATATGAGGGTTGCTATGTAAACACCCTCTTTTCATAGCATGGACACCTCTTGTGCCACACACTCCTATAGACCCCCATATGAATCTTTTATTTATATTGAATGTTTTTAGGATAAAATTATATTAAATTATTCCTTTAATAGAATTAATATGCTTTTTAAAGTGAATGAAAGAACTACATGAAATATATTCTGGAATTTTGTTAGATTTAATAAAAATAAATAAAAAATAAGAAATAAAAAATGCCATAAGCCATTGCACATTTATCTTTAGTTGTAAATTTATCCTATATCTTTTTAATGTAAATAAGAGTTTTACTATGTGTATGTGGGGGTGTGTGGCACAAGGGATGTCTATACAATAAAAAGGGGCTATCTGCATGGTGGTTCTTTAAAATATACTAAGAATAATTTCAAATTATAAAAATCTTGGTAATATTATTTATGTATATATTTATGTATATACCATTTTTTGTGTTTTAAAAAATATTATGCTATATATATATATATATATATATATATATATATAAACACACACATGTCCACATACGTATGTTTTAAAACGTTTGATGTTTTGAAAGTTATACATTGATTACATGTTTATAGAAAGGAAAATAGATTTATCTTTGTTATATATTTTTTAGATTATATTAAAATGTTAAAGATCCACAAATTATATAACTAGAAGATACATGTAGAAATATAAAACTCAAATTAAAATATTTGATTATTTCTTTCTTTATTTTGTTTTAAAAAATAAAATATGTAAGGCTTATTTTAAATTTTGTAATTTCTGAAATCCTAACAGTATTAAAAATAAAAATAAAAATACCTGAAAGCATGAGATCTTAAAATTCCAATTATTTTATTCAATTGGTTACATGCAGTGCTTCTGTAACAACAACCATGCCATAGTGGTTTTTATTGTAACAGTTGAAATTTGGTGGTAGAAGTGTAAGTTGGTATTAAAATAATTATAAATGCGTAGAATAGATGTAAATTTTGTAATTAATGTTTAAAAAAGTAATTGAACTAAAACTGGTCATGTAAACTTCTCATAAATTATCATGAAAAGCTAAAAGTACAACAATTGTATAGATAGATTCAAAATCATATTTCATGTATTGTTTACTTTTCAATGATTTTGTTATTAAAGATTTATTAATTGATGGAATTTAGTAATAATCCTCTTACAACTAGCATTTTAAAAAATTATAAAATATCATACATGTTAATTTGTTTACTCTATTTTTAGGAGTAAGAAATTGTCTACATTTTTATAAAAAGTCCATGGAACCTTCTTACAAATGTTAAAAGCATTGATTAAACATACAAAATATTTGATACTATTTCATTTTATTTTAAAATTTGAAGTAAATGAATAAATATAAATCATATTCAATACAGATTCAACTTTGTCAACTCTTCATCACGATTTCATTTACCGTTTCAATGTATTTAGTTTTTCAAGTTATGCCCTAAGTTAGTATATTGTTTTATATACAAATCCAAGGAGTGGACATTTTGTGTCGCAAATGAATGATATTTTTATTTTTAAGCAGATTCTATCCCATCCAAAGGTACTGCCATGTCAGCTATGGATCCATTCCTGTCCAACAGGAAACACCAGGTGCATTTTTCAATGAGATAATTTTCTATGAAATGCTATAACTGGGAATGAAGATGAACGTAGAATGTCGAATGAAAAGGATGGAAACTGTGATAAAAAATTTCATGATGAGAATTTCATGACTGAGAGATGAATGAACCAGTTGTTTTATGAAGACACTCATCCATCTAATTTAACGGCGAAACTGCAGTGGGGTCAGTTCGGCCGACAGGTTTGAGTCGGAGCGTGAGTTAGCTTTGGAAGTGACATCGACGCAAAAAAAAAAAAAAAAGAATAAAAAAAGCACGTCTCTTCATTGCAAGACGATCAGTCGTGGAAACAATGATCGCTCTCGCTGCGTGTGGATTGCTCCAATGTGGACCCAGTAAAACAGGTTGATATATTCTGAGTCATGCGGAAGAAACTGTGCGTTGATTCAGTGATGTGGTCCCTAAACAACCTTGTTAAGAATTGGCATCTTGACAGGCTTGTTCACTACTCAATTTGGTCTTGAATTTGGTGGGGACTCTCATGGTAATGGTACCGCGACAGCAGTACTGTTGTCGTGTGCCGAATCGACTTGGGCTAGGTGGTTTTGTACGCTTCAGATTTTATGGATCATTCAATAAAGCTCCCAAGGGAAGGAGATGCGCCTTTTGGGCTCGATTTGACTGACTCCCAGTCACATCAATTCTGGGAAAGTCTTGCCCTTGAAGGAGTACTTGGTGGAAGGCTAGAGCAAGTCAGTGGGCCCTGCGACTACCATTGAAGAGATCAAAGCTACATCGTGTCACGCCAAAAAGAAATTTCAGAGATGTTACAAATTTGGATGAGGAAAAAAAAAACTAAAAGATAAATTGATTGCAGGAGATGATGTGTACGTTGTCAGAAATCAATATTCTCAGATCATATATCCTGAGGGAGAAAAAATTGATTTTCTATGTGAATTCCAATCTGTTTTTCAACGTGTACAAAGTTACAGAATCTGAAAATCTATGTTAAGGACGAATGGAAAATCAGATGGGACATTGATGCTGGTGTTGATTGGTGGGAGGAGGCATGAATTTCATAGAATGCTAATGATCCTCATCGCAATGTAGCCCTCAGTTCTGAAGGAGGAACTGATTGATCACATCAGCAATTTCACTCATGGAGGATTCCGGAAAAATTAGTTTGTTTATCGTGAAATTATCTCATCGAGTGGTTGTGAAAAATTAATACTCATGCGAGTGACCCGTTCGACCTTTCAATGATCAAATACACAAAACCCACATTCCTTACAAGTTGTTTTTGTACAACGATCAATCCTTTGTAATATTCTTGAAGTAGCAAATATCCAATATATTAAACCTTGTGGATAGGAACCGCTAGACTGATACTAAGATCAGAATGTGCAACATACTAAAAATAACCAATTCATCGTGGTAATAATGTAATAATTAGATGAATACAACAAAGTTCAAGAAGTATTTGAAAAAGATTATCTTACAAGTATCTGTGCGAAATGCAGATTCTAACCTGGCTGAATGAAGGGAGAGACTTAAACCTCGCATTTACACGTGCTGCATGTAAATGTTGAAGAGATGTTTACCAACCCGCAATGGATGTTTGTGAAACGAAGGAAGAAGAGCTGCAGACGATGAAAGCCAAAATGGGGAAATCGGAATTTAGGGGAGATGGCAATTACTTTCTTCTATGTGCAGACTACTAGTATTTTGATCATGTTACCCTTGAGCTGATGGCTGAAGCAAATAGAGCTCTCACCATTGCTAAGGGGTCACTCGGATATGGTGAGGGATGAGCCACAAAAAGTATCACTTTCTCTGTCGAAGAGAACACCACAGTAGCTAAAATCTCTCTTGAGAAACGTAACCACACTGAGGTTGTTATATCTCATTCTAGTGGAGAGTTCATCGCAAATGGCGAGTGAATCAGGATTGAGATTTATGAAAATATTCCTTTCAATTCCCACGTTGTAATACTGCCAACAGAGTAACTCCCACCCCCTAGACGGTGAGAATAAAGCAGCCCATTTCATTACTGAACATGAACTTTAAACACCGTGGAGCTACGCGAAGAACTGAATGCATTTGCAAAGAATGCTTAATGGACCGGTCGTATAGGTCAACGAAATCATCGCTGAAGCATCCTCATACACAACTAGGTGGTCTATGAAATATCATAAAACGAGGTAATAACCACAAAGGTTTTAAAACAACGTTGAATTATTTTCCACTACCATATTGACTATGGAAATCAAGGTTAGAGGAAAAGTCAGTGAAGTCTTTGGGGGACAACAAAGTCTTAAAACTATTTTTGCAGGGATCAAGCCCAAGACGTCAGCAAAAGAAATCTGACAAAAAATCCGAAGGGAAGAAAAAGCCTTGCAGGTTCAACTACACAAGTAATTCTGGAACTGTAGACTGTTTGGTGGACTTACATGAAATCTTCATCGGAGATAAAAAAGTTGCAGATCCACGTCGATTACATACTTCGTTCACAATCAATCAGATATCAAAGAAACGAGCAGACTTACATGAAATCTTCATCGAAAGTTTATGGGAAGTTTGGAATTGTTCAGAACCACCTGACATTTGTCTTTTCCAGTACAAACAGTCGAGGAACTCAAGCGAAAGTTCTCCTAACAAGCGACCATGAAACCCTTACAGCTGTTTCAGTATTTTGTAACAAGGTGGGTCTGTCTAAAGCATCTGTGTTTGAAGTAGGGGTTGTATCAGCTTTCACACGGCTGTGTGCAAAAAGAGACAAAACTGGAGTAATTCATGACCTTAAAACTGCAGCTGTCAGTCATTTGTGACTTCCAACTCATATTCCATGAGTGGCAAGCTATAACCGACTTTTAACATGTTGGGAATGCAATGAAGGAGTCAAAGTTGGTGGACATACGGATGACATAAGACTGCAAGAACAGAGTACGCAAGGTCAGCATCGACCCATTTGCTGATCGTTGGAGATGATAGCAACTAAGTGACTTTTCCTTGTCCTTCCTCAAATACCATAATAATTCTTCCATCCACGTCCACCGTCAATAAAACATACAGATACCCGAGACGAAATGAAACCTCATTGCGGACTCGCAATTCAATACTAGCAACAAAACAATCTGGACTTCATATTTACAAAAGAAAACGCCATGCACTCATGGGGAACAACTGCCAAGAGTACTCGGAAGTCATCGTACATAAAATTGAGGAAACAGTCTTCTCTTCTTGGCAGGGGTATTACTGCTTAACACAATGTTGTCCTTTCCATGGCCAGCCAGCCAGCAAATTTGTTTTCTATTACAGGAACAGCCAAGTAAAATGTGTAGACCCCATGTTTACTGCAGGAATGCACCATGTATCCTGATGGAATACCAATAATGTATGCTGATCTTTGAAACATAACATAATCTCCCAATTTGAAATTGTCTAAGTATAGCTGGCATGGCTTGCCACTGAAGAAAGATTCTCAAGCAAAATTGGCATCATATTTTTTTGATGTGTGCCATAGATGCTGCTGGAGGATGATAGTTTGTGAGCAGTGTTAAGCATTGGGAGCTATGCAGTATTTAAGTAGTACATTAGGTGATGTTTGGATAAAGTACATGATGTTTAGGTGAGCTAAATTTGTTGGTTTCATGTAAACTTGGCTCATTAAATCATGGATCACCAATTCCTTGTTTTGATCTACTGTTGCTTGATGATATTTCTTGTGGATGTGATAAATCATTTATTCTTTGAATGTGAACTTTGTTTCTTCTGTTTTTATCTCATGAATAAAGATTTTCAAGGTGAGATGCTTGAGAATGGTGGTTTTAAAATCAAAAAACATATTTTTTGAGTTATTTGAAAAACTTTGTATATTAATTATACATTATCATCTGTTGTTTTAATAAAATAGTCTAAGATATTATTTTTTATTTTCATGGTTTCATACTTAAAAAAATATTACAAAAAATAAAAAAATATCATATTTTTTTGTCTCAATAGTAGAATTTTGCAAATAAATTTATGTTTATTATAATTCAAGAATGTCTTAGCTAAATCTTTGAATACCAACAACAGATAGAAAAATAGGCTTATATAGTTATTCTAGTAAGTAATCATATATAAATAAATTGATAGTATAAATACTTATACATTCTAAAGAATTTTTATCTTTACATCATAAATAAATAAAAGATAAAATTCTCAATGTATAAAATATTCTTTAACCTATCTATATTACAGTTAAAATATTGCAATTTCAAATTAGCACATTAGTATATGAAAAGACTATTGTATAAACACATACCAAATATTTACATTTAACCAAATTATATAGATTCTAAGACAAAAAAAAAAAAAAAAAAATTCAAAAAAAAAAATCTCACATGTACATGTACGAACTTAAATTTTTACATAATATATAGGGATAAATAGTAAAGTATTCAACTAGTTTGTGTGACTTATTTTTAAAAAGGTAGAACATATTGTAAATAGAAAAAAAATAGAAAACATAATTTCTGTAAAAATTAAATGTTAGAAAAAATTATAAGAAAAAATAAACGTCTAATGAATGCTTTCTAAAGAATAAAAATAAAAATAAAAATTTAACAATTTTTTTTATTAACTATGATTTAAAAATAAATTAGCAATATAGAAATAAGAATAAAGACTTTAAAATATTAACAAAAAATTTTATTCTAAAGATATCAGATAGTTGGAAATTTAAAAATATTTTTTAAAAAGAAATGTACATATAATATCATTAGAAAGACTAGAGAGAAGCTAAAAGAGAAGATAAAATAAAATATTTAAATTATACATAATAGAAGTTAGAGAAGGTTTGTTTATAGATATGTTGACTAGAAGTAGAGGAGGTACGGGATTAAATATACATTAAATTTTAATTTTATTAAAAAAATTAAAAAAAGAAGAATATTATTTTTATATTATTTCAAAATCTCAAAAAGAATTAAAGAATTGTAATAAAAAGTAATAATAATAGAAAAATAAAATTATATGAACACAATACAATAGTTATAAATAAAATTATTTATAAAAAGGATTACATAGAGTAACATTGTAAACATATATATCTAATTTTTGAATAAAACTTAAATTTAAAATATACAATATTAAATTATAAATGATGTATAAAATTTAATTTTGTGTTGTTTTTAGATTTCTTTTTTGTTATAATCTTTTTTACTTTTAAATTTTTTTCTTAAAATTTTAACATATATTATTAAAAATATTTATTTCTTATTTCTTAAAATATTTAAATTTTAAAAAATTAAAAGTTAAATTAAAAGAATATATATATATATATATATATATATATATATATATATAGAAGACTATATATTTATTAGAAACCATAGAATATACATATCAGGAATATTTTAAATAAAATTTTAAGACGTTATTTTAAGATGTTATCTGCATTCAAAATAATGTTGATTGATTATTATTTAATACATCAGTTTTTCAAAATATTTATTTGAATTTTTTTTAATGATGTCATTTCAGATATAATAACTAGAAATTCTTCTAAATACATACCTACTAAGTATCATGTCAAAATACAATATATAGTTGTACATATTCTCTTGTAAATATATGCCTAAATAAGAGTTACAACCAATACATCTCTTTAGGTGTAGGTTTATGCAAGTAATTACAAATGTGATACTATTATGTTATTTCACCTTAAACTTTTATAATTTTGTTAAACCACTCCAAACTTGAATTGCAAAATAAATACTATCTTTTAGATTATTATGGACAAATACAAAAAAATTATTTGCATATATATATATATATATATATATATATTCCTAAATTTTAGAAGAGAAGCATTGTCTAAAGGTTTAAATGTGAGGAGCAAGGTGGTCTTTAGTCTTCAAAGAGATTTTGTGTTTGAATCCCACTATTGGTATATAGATTTTTCTTCTTCTTTTACAAATTTAAAAGTTGTGATTTAATTTTTTTTAAAATTAATAAATCGTTTCTTTAATTCATTATTCTTATTCTACCAAACTAAATAAATATGCTAAATAAACTTTGCTCAAATTTTTGGTTTAAACAAACAAACATCTATTTCAAATATTTGTCTTCGCTCGTTACTAGTCTTGACAAATATGGAGTTAAGGTAGTTTCTCGAACCTAACTCCATAAGCCCTCTTAAATGCCTTGGCAATCAATGGAACAGACCTTCCACCGATTGATATCCGGGGCGGAATACCCGGACTCTCCAATACTGGCTTTCGTGTTTGTAGTCATGTTCTGTCGACGCAGCGGAGTTCGGTGACTGTCGGTGCAGGCGCAACAATCTGAATACCGCCCTCGTATCAGCGCCGATGGCTTGTTCGGCGTCACTGGTGGCGCGCGTGCAATGACTCAACCTCGTCGTTTGAGAATCGTCTGCGTAAACAAAAAATACAGCCCCTGGAAACGCTCCTCCCTAGGCACTGCATTCGTCAAGAAGCCATCGCGTCATGATCCAGCGTATTGAACTTGGTCCTCTATTCTGGGGGTTGTACAGTTTTAGTTTGGTTGCTTCCACAGGTCTCTGTTGCTCAGTAACGCTGTTGCTGACTGTAGGCGGTGGCGCATCCTGCGGGAAGGAGTTTAAAAGATGGAGGTTCACTATGTAATTTTCCCCACAGGTTTTGCGTTGGGTCGGTGATTTCCTAGAGACATTAATTTCGCGATGAAAGGCTAGAAAATTTACTGGCGGAGGCTCTGGTTTCTTTGTGTAATTGGTTTTGCACATGCAGAGGTTTTTGGACTTTTAGATTTTGAATTTTAGAGATAATATGACGTTCTCGAGGGCTTATGCGATGTGCACTGATTTGGAACGCTTGCGTTCAATTCGGTAGCATCATCCGTCAGTTGGAATGGGATCGCAACTTTCTCTTCCCCATTTTCTAGAACTGCGGATGAGAGCTCGAGAGGTTTCGTTGCTCGTAACCCTGCTACTAGGATCTGCAGCGGGGGACTAAACCGCTTCGTGTTTGCATCGTCAACAACAATGGCGCAAGGAGTTGCAGTAGCGAGTCATACATTACCTTTGGAAACGTTCGGAGTGTCCATGTACCCTATGTTCAGGAGTAAAGTTATTTACCTGGTGCGCCACGGGCAGGGCGTCCATAACGTATCTGGGGAGACCGACCATGCCAATTATAAGTCCTGGGACCACATGGATGCGCCTCTCACAGATCTGGGAAGGCAGCAGGCGGAAGCTCTTCACGACCATGTAGAGGCCACGGGAATAAAGGCCCAGGTCGAGCTGGTCGTGGTCTCCCCTCTTCTGCGTACATTGCAGACAGCCACAAGAGTTTGGGGTGAAGCTGCATTGCCAGAAGGAGAGTCCCCCTTGTTGGTGAGTAGATCAGGAAAATTCCAGCACGCTCCCATTGCACCCTCGAGGTCGTTGAAATTCGTCGCGAATGAATGGTGTCGTGAAAGGACCGGAGTGAACCCATGTGACAGACGCTCCAACATCTCCATCTACAGAAAAGACTTTCCTGGGGTGGATTTCTCGGAGGTCCAGACCGACGAGGATACGTGGTGGCATGATACCAAGCGCGAGACCAACGAGGAGGTTTTCGACAGGGCCAGAGTGCTGGTGAGATGGCTGCTGGACCGCCCCGAGTCACAAATTGCCCTCGTCTCGCACTCTAGTTTTTTACTCCGCATGTGTCAATTGCTCGGCGCGGGCTGCTCCGATGTCGTGAGGACAGAAATCCAAACAGGCTTCCAGAATTGCGAGATGCGGGCTATGGTGATCGTGGATCGATTGGCTTCTGGCCCTCCCACAACTGCTTCTTTGGACTTTCGTGGGGGTTTGAATCACGACGTTCTCTTGAGGAGAGACATGGACATCCCTCACAGAAAGATCGTTGCAGAGGACACATTCGTCCTGCAAGCGGACAGCTTCCCCACTGTTGCGTAGTCACCTGAACCATCATTCAAAGCTATTTCGAATGGGTAACTTTCTCATGATTGATGGTTAGACACTTTTGTAGCCTCAATGGATTGTTCCAGTGCTTCATCCTTAGCATTGATAACCGTCATCTACATTCTTGGCTGCACTACAAGTTACAGATTTCTACATGGCTATTATTCTCTCTGAATGTAGTCTGCACACTGTTCTCAATATGCAGATTCTTGTGGTTTTCTTGTCTCATCCTCATACAACTGGTGCCCGTGCTTTGGAGTCTGATCATGTGGAAATCAAGTCATTGTTGTGTCTTGATTATGGGTCACATCGAATGCGGTAGTTTTCTTACTTCTACTTCTGCAGTTTACCATTGACGATTAGGAGCATCGTGAGTGTATTCGGCTGTCAGAAGCTATTTTGCTGTGACTATCAACAGCTCTAACACTTAAACGATGTCAGCGTTCAAAAATAAGAGCAGTTAGATCGAATTTCTTACGTGTTTTAAGACAATTTTAACAGCCTTACGTGGTTTAGGACATTTGAATAATGGTGATTCTCTGAGGATGTAGTTATGTATCAGTTGTTCATGTAAACAACATGACTTTTTTGATATATATGTAGCAATTCGTACCCTTTCCTTCTCTCTATTATGGTAAATACGGGCTTGACGTATTAAACGAGAACAAACAGGAGAGAACAATGGCAAGCAAACAAAGCTGAGTTGAAAAAAATAGCCATGTTATGGAGTTATGAAGGTGTTACATAAGCAGATGGTGTAGATACGAACACTATCTACTTCTTGGAGACGTACGCATAGTATTGAGCCATGGGCACTACAAAGGCAATGACAAGCAGGCCTCCGACTACGAGCGAGAACTGACCTCGTTTCGATTCCGTCTCTTCTTTGCTCTTGAAGTTCGACTCTCGCTTGTTCTCCTTAAAGCTAGGCCCGCCAACGTCCTCAAGACCGTCGATGGCTGCCACCAGACGCTTCGCAGTGCTGTAGATGGCTTCGTTATACTTCTCGTCGGTTGCCAAGACGGGTAGATTCTCAGCTGTCACGGCTTCCAGAATCTTGTCACCCACTGCTTGCGTGAAAGCCGGCCCTCCTGTAACAGCTCCCTCCTTCTGGGTGGTCACGAGCAGGACGATTCCCTTGTTGTTTCCCTCTTCCAGGGTTGGGTACCATTTTTCCAGGATCTGCAGCACATTTCACTAAAATAAATCAGTCTCTGATATCTCTCATTCGAAAATGTAAATGCGATGTGTAACTGATTTGACTGCATGCATGAGAGAGGAATTTCAAGCAGGTGAGAGCTCTACCGCATCCGCAAATTCGAAAGAATCAGCTTTGCTGGTGAGCTTCCTCAGGGTGATGATGTTAATGTGGTAGCCCTTGCGCTCCTCGACATCGCGCAACAAACGCTTTAAGTCGGATTTGGTGACGCGGTTGAGCACGTTGGCGTCGTCTACCACGAAGTTCTCCGTGGGTGGGCCTTCGTTCAAGACGTTGAACTCGCTGGCTTCCGAGGGGGCCACTGATGGGCCGAAATTCATCACGGCCGACAGGGCTAAGGCGGTCAGTCCGGTGCCCACAGCGGCCTTGACCTTGCTCAGGGAATCTCCCAGGCTTGCCTTGGTAGCGCTCATTGCAAGGTTGCATTGGGGGTTCTTTTTGAGTGCTCCGGTCGACAATGAGGGTACCGACGTCCCTGCCACAAATTCATAAAAGTAAAATGCATTCGTTTATCAGCCACCTGATCTAACAGAATACAGTGAAGAGAATAGTTGTTACATAATGATCACCTCTCAAAACGTAAGATTTAAGTAAATTTCAGGAGCAGCAGATTTCTGTACAGACGCTTCCAGAATCAACCCTAAATACAAGCGTAAATTCCACATACTACGCCAGTTGATGTTGGACAGGCTAGAAAAGTCTCGTTCAAATTAAACATTCTCAATGCAACCACGACCACAAGCAGAGAGAATGTGCCCTCGAATATAATAACTCGGCAAATTGGACGACAGCTATGAGAGACCATTGCTCCGATGTGGAATTTGATGGTATAATCCTCCTGAAAATAATGCTGAGCATATCAGACAAAAAAAAACAAAAAAAAAAAAAAAAAAAAAAAAGAAGAAGAAGAAGAAGAAGAAGAAAGGAAAAAAAAGAAGAGGAGAGATGCGCATGAGAGAGGAACGTCTCAGCGCACAAGTATAATGGGAGAAGAAAAAAGAAAAAAAAGGAAAATGGACTCAAATTGAATTGCCAGGGCAAGCTCGCGAGGCGCAGGTTGTCTCGCACTGTGTTACAATGCGGTCACCCAGTTTCCAAATCGCTCCCAAAAACCACCGCCTCGATGACACAAAGTACGAAAAAGCCTGAGGAAATTAGAGAAAGCTCCAATTAAATCAAAAAGACCGGCAAACGAAAAACCCACACATTCGCCTCCCCAAACAGTGTCCTTCGTTCAAGGAGACCACTGACCCAAGAATGGCGTTACTGGCGTCTCCTTGCTGGGAGCCACAGACGATGCGGAACCCAACAATGTTGAGCTCCCTCGGGTCATCACCTTCGCCAGCATGGCTACAAAGATTTTAGATCGGAGTGGTCAAATGCAATGCTTGATGAAATCTAGGTCAGCTGAACGACTCTTGCAACGCTCCACCCACCTCGAAATGCTTTGCCCAGCACGCTGCAGCCTTCTGGGAGCCATGTGAGAGGACTGGGTTGGGTGAACAAGATGGAAGTGGATAGAGGGTGCGCCAATAGATGGGCACCACGTGTGCACATGCCATCCTAGGAGCTGTTGGTCATTCTTTTATCTTTCATGGAGGACCCCCACAGTAGATTTAGTTTCTAAACGCATGAACTTCTGGAGACATGTTCGAGTACTTAGGTTAGCGTGTTCCCAAGTAGTGTCTCCAATCTTACACAATTCATATCCACCTGTGATGTAGGCACAATTGACGAACAAGTCTAGAAGTTTGTGAAAAACGGTTGTCTGCTCCTGAGTCTTGCTCATCTGGCTGACAGTTTGTAGAACTTATACAACGGTAACTTGTGTTAGCTTGTACGTTTGCAAACACAATCTACTGTCTGAGCATGTGCATCCTACGTTGTCATGTAAGAGATGACGAGCAGCCGAGTGCAAGCTTTTGAAGAACTGCCATCAGGAAAGGCGCTTAAAGCGAGTTTGCATCCACAAACACATGGATATGTAAACCAACAAGTCTATTTACCAGCAAGAAGACACTAGACTCCAGCTGAATTATGAAAAAGATTGAGCCGGCATAAAAAATGCAGTACCCCAATCAAGTGAGCCTGCAAACAGAGGCTTATTCGTCATATGTACATGCAAGAAATCGCTATGACCATGCTATCAGTGGGTGATATTGCAAACTGCGCCCTCACTCGAATAATCTACTCTGCACTTTGACTTGCAACTGCACTCTTGGACTCCTCAGCTCGAGCAGCATTTCTCTCCTGAACCTTCCAGCCGATTTCGAAAACTGCACCTGCGTGGAGCACAAAAACATGTCACTTCTGAAGCAACTCCTGTGAACGCCAACTGTGACACCAAAAATACAATTCTGAATGTCGATTTTGAAGACTTTAACAATAGTGGATAAAGGAGCGCTTCGAACAGAATTGAGGTTTAATTTGAATTTTCCAGGTTGCTCCTTCAAGGAGAATCCGACTACAATCCTACATGGATTTTGGGGACAATGGGTGCATGGCTCTAGGAGAATTCTGACATCGAAAGGACTGTGTTCAGCAAGAATATGTAGGTGAAAATGGCTATGAAACTGATGTCATGTAGTGCACTGTTTGCAAATTTAGCCAAAATGCCAGAGTGGTATTGTAAGGAGGAAAAAAAGGAAAACACCTCACCAAGTTAATCAACTCGCTGACCAACTCCTGAGCACAATAGGTGCATGTAAAACATAGACATGCATGTAGTCACGCCAAAAACCAAGAATAGGAAAATGGACATTTCGCTTTACCAGCTGCAACGAGGATGACGAGAACGTCTCCAAATCGTTTGATAGCCGAAACAGTGTCCTTCACTGAGTGATACTTGCTGAGAGCTGGGTCCTTTTCGAGCAACTGCGGAAGACAGAAATTTCTCAGATTTCAAGCTTAGGGTCAGTTGCAATCATACAACTGCCAAATTAAAATCATTGTGTGCTAGCCGCTGAGAAGCCGAGTTCATCATTTAATTGTATACAGAACATAATGAAATTCATAATGACTTTCTAATAACTACATCTTCATGTATTAAACCTTCTTCTGGTAGTGATTGAGCTTTTCGAATTCTAGCACGCTTCTGAAATCCCTATCCCTCACTTTCAAATTCCAAGAAGTAGTGCACCGGCAAACTTGTCACACCCAACTCCCTCAACTGAAGAATTAGGGTTTCTTGAGAAAGAAGATAACACTAAAACAAACATAAACCATTCAGGATAAAAAGAACCCACGTATAACTTATGTATGTATATATATATATATATATATATATATATATATAGACACACATACACACACATTAATCAATTCCCAACAAAAATAAAAATAAAAAAATAAATAAATAAAACTGCCAATAAGCACACGAAATTGAATACAACAATCCAATGACTGAAACTTGCTCGAGGGTACTATCACAAGTAAAATACACATCCCAGTTGGTTTAACAATCACATAGTTCATCTAGCTAAGCCCATCAAAAATCTGGAACCCCTCAATCAAGAGTACCAGAAAATGAGTGACAAATTCCTCACTCAAAAAATCATAAAACACAGAATAGAACTGCAACAAACCAAATCCTCGCGAGCTCCGGAGCGGGTGGCCATGCCACGGCTCTGGCCTACGACCAGACGCCTAGCGATCGAGCTCCGTACAGCCTGCATGACTGCTACAACCGATGGAAACAAGGAGCTAGACGCAAATCACGAAGGTGGGTGTCTCGCCAAAGAGCGCTAGTTGGGTCAGGCGTCCAGATGTAAAAGCAATCGCGGAGGGTCAATCGCCGAGGAGTCACCGTTTTCTCTCGATCTTCCAGGAATCGAAATCGCGTTGCAATGAACGTGGAAGTGATGAAGTTTTTAGGGTTTCGGATGAGTTTTAGGGTTTTGGCGTTGTGAATGAGATCTTAATGGAATACTCTGGAACATCCGGCGTCCAGGTGAGATCTCACCTTACATCTATGATTTTAATAGGTCACATAAAATATGTAAAATCCATCTGCATACATTTTTTTAAAAAAGATTTTTAAACTAAAGAATAAATTTTCTTCATTTATACTTTTATTTCTATTTTTATAGAATGTTCTTGATTTTTCATATTTTTTAAATTATATGTACCATTAATTATTACCAAGACAATTAGATGATTTTCTTGCCATTAGCAAAACATTCATATAATGACAAAATACATTCTTTTTATTATTAATTTTAATCATCATCAATAGTTAGATTCTTTTGGTTGTTTATAAGTTAAAGATCTAACAACAATGGCTTTTGTAACTAAAGAGCAAAGCATTGTATGCTAATGGAAACATAAGTAAAAAAAATTCAAAAATTCCAAAAAAAAAAAAAATCAAAGTAATTGTATTTAGGCTAAAGCAATCTTTATTTAAAGCTTGTGATGATATTTATATACTTTGTTGTAATACTAAGATTAAGTAAATTTATAAAAAATTAAATTATCAAAAGTGTGGCTTATATATCTTTTATGTAAAGCAACTTAGAGGGATAAACCAATGGGATAAACTAAAAGAGACAAAAACCATTTCTAATTGGTTGCATATCTCATTGTTTTTATCAAAAGTGAAGCAATAACTCAACTTTTGATCAATCAAATAACAAAAACTGCATGCTATTGCTGCACATTGTTAAGTGTAGCACTGCAAGATTACTAGGCATAGAGCCTGGAAGCAACTCAATGTAGAACAATATGGAATATAGTGGAATAGTATGCAACATAAAGTTTTGCATTATATGAAGCTTCAAACAAAAGGTTAATTTACACCACATAATTTACAATGTTTCTTTGTGGCCAACAACATATGTTTCTACTTATTATTTAAAAGCAAGTAAACTAATTAGTTGCAACGCAAATTAGATTCTTAAGCAAGATTTTACGCAATACGACATATTTGGTAAACTCAACTTGAAATACTTGAGGTAGAAGGTATTTGGTATTCTTGGATTATTTAAATTATGGAGAAGGAAGGCAAGAGAGTTGAAAGAAGAGCTATAGGTGGTGCTTCAATTAGAGCTACAAGTGGCGGTACTAGTAGAGGACAAGGTATGTATTTTGATTCCAAGTCTGTAAGCATGTTTGAAGCTTTTATTTTATTTATGCAACAGCAGTAGGTTAAAGATCGCAAAGAAGGTATGGCAAATAAAGCATTACAAGCAATTGTGGACAAGATCGATCAATTTGAAGAGAAGGATATTACAAAATATTTAAGGTATTATGTAAAGGAAATGGAATTGAAGCATGTTTCAAAAAGGGAGATGGTTCAATTATTTGAATTAGCCTTTGCACCAAAGATAAGAAATCAAGTAAAATCCCTTATTGGATATTTTGGAGGTTCATGGGAGAAATTTTCTCAAGCATTGAAAGATGAGTTTTTTTAGAAGATAGTGATAGGATTACAAAGAAGTCATTTTTTGAATAGATTGAAAGGCCAAAGAAGGATCTTCTAGTAAGAGAGTTATTAAAGGAGTTTCAAAAGCAATATTTTTATTTATCAAAGAAAGAGAAGTAATTACTGGATCCAAGTAAAGTAGAGTTTTTTTTTTTCAAGCAATTGATGGAGAGTTGTAAGAAAAGTTGGAAGTCTTACTAGAAAATAAAGAAGAAGATGAAGATTAACAATAAATTGGAAGAAAGTGGACGAAGCAATAGGATTGCTTATAAAAAGAGAAAAGACAAAGCATAGAGTAGGTATTCAAAGACCATTGCAAGCATCTAAGATAAAAATGCCTATTATCCATCTCACATCTATAATTTAACCTTCAAAGGCTACATCAAAGAAAGAAGGAATGTATATTGATGAAATCATATGAGGAATGAAAGATTTGCAAATAAAATTTGTAAAACTTAAAGAGAAGGGTCAATCATCAAAAGTATTAACAAGACAAAATTTAGGAGCAATGGAGGATGTAATACATAGGTATATGTGGTGTGATAGTACAAATCATGGAAGAAGAGAATGTGAGGATTTTATAGAGGTGCTACGTAAAGGAGTTATTTTTTTCAAAAATGGTATGATACACTCAAAAGAGAGTGGAGAAAAATTAGAGACGAATTTTGGTAAAGGAAGAATGAAATTGTTTGTGGGAGATGCTTTTAAAGTGCATAAAATCTCAAGTAATGAAACATCAACATATTGGGTAGAAGCAAATCCAAGCAAATGTTTAAGTATAAATCTAAAATTTCAAGGAAAATCTAGTTCTTTGTAGTCAAATGTAATAAGCTATGCTAAAAAAGAAAAAAATACTAGAGATGATTTAAAACATGTTAGAAATAACATTTGGCAAATTATTGGGTGGAATGATCTAGTAGATGGATTATTGGTGCATGTTCATATTGCAAGGAGTCAACATGAAACATTAATAGAAGAAAAACAAAAGAGAGATGAAAATTATGAAGGGCCATCAAAAAGAACTACCAAAAGAGAAAAGGAGACAACAACAAAAGAATCCTATGCATAAAAAGACAAAAAAGAAAATTTCTACAAAAGAAAGGGAAATTATGAAAGAAAAAGAAAAAAACTCCTGTCTATAAATTACAATCAGATATTGAAGCTGCTACAGATTTGAAGAAGGTATTGGAAGAATGGATTTTAAGTGAAAAGGTTGAATTCATAATTGATGAGATTTTAAGAATTGAAAAGTGGAAATTTCATGAAATTATTATTAATACAATAAGGAAAAAGTGTTAATCTATAGAAGATACTATGATATCAAATGTACAAGGAATAAGAGCAATGAAAAGCAATAAAGATAAAGAAGATGAAATGCAAAATTTTGGAGATGTTTCGCGAGTAAGATTTATAGAAAATGAAGATGTGACTCAAGCTTCTAGTCATTATTTTAGAAGTTATTGGACAAGAATTATTATAGAAACTTTAGTAAAATTGGAAGATTTAAAAACACCAATTGTAGCATTGATTGATCATGGTTTTGAAATCAATTTGATATCAAAAGAATTATATGAAAAGAAAAAATGGCCTATTGATATTGAATATGGATAAATGATAAGAGAGACAAATAATTCAAATAGAAATTTATATGGCTCTTGTCCAAATATCAAACTGAAAATAAAAAATATTATTCATGAATAAAATTTCTTTATGCAAGATATGTCTACATATCTTATTATATTAAGACAATCATACATTATTGGTACATAAATAGAAATAAAAATAATAGATGATGATTCAGCCTATGCAAGAATAAGAAGTTAAGATGGAATGAAAATAGTTCAATTTTTAACTGTTAGTGCCAATCATGAAAGGAATTGTAATAAGTTGAGAGAGAAGCCATTATTAAATGAGAAATTTGAAGATCTTGAGGATTTTTATTGCACAACATTGTGAGGCGGGATTACAATGGATTAAAAAAAGAGATGCTTTCACTAAGTATAAAAAAAAAGATATTATCTACTAGACTTATTATGTTGATATAAGGTTAAGTATTGTCTTTTAAGACTATTCACAAGATGAAAAAGATGGACAAATGTCATGTTAAAAATATTGAATAAAAATTGAAAGAAAATGGAGAATTGATTGATAATGAATTTATTTTAGGAGCATTTGAAGAAGTAAGATTTGAAAATTCTATTGAAGAATTATATTATTTGTTGTAAGGTAGATTACAAGGAAAAAATAGAATTATTAATGTATGTATTAAAGAATTTTATAATAAAGTTTATGAATTTATAGAAAATTTTAATTACTAAGAGGTACATATTAAAACTAAGTATAAATCAATGGCAAAAAAGGTCAAACTAGTAGCTTTTCTATTACGATCAGATTGTGAAGAAAAAGTGAGTAGAGCATATATACAATCAAATTTAAGGGATTGTAAGAAGATAGGACATGAATTTATGGAATCTACATTAGATAGATTAAATGTTGGATGTGATGGATTTTTTTCAAAATGTGAAAAAAAATATTTTAAAGATATGCTTGGATGACATGGAAAGGCTTTTGCATTTAAGGCATATGAAATTGAATGTGTTGATTCAAATATTATAGCACCTATGGTTATTTTTACTATTCTTAAAAACCAAAGAATTTGCAACCAATTCCAATATTAAGAGCACATTTATCTAAGCTAATAAATCTGTTCAATAAAAAAAATTATTATGAAAAGTTTGGAACCATCTATGGCACTTTATTCTAATTAATAGTTTACAGTGTCAAAGAAAATGGAACAATGAGATTTATACAAGACATGCAACCTGTAAATAAAATAACTATTAGAAATATGGATTTAACTCCAATTGTGGATGAATTTATAGAAACATTTGCTAGAAGAGCTACCTATTGAATAGTTAATTTTTATTGAGGTTATGATCAATTTCAATTGGCAATGCAAAGTAGAGATATGACAACTATGAAGCCACCATTAGGATTGGCTAGAATATGCATATTACTACAAGGAACTACAAATTTTGTAGTACACATGATAAATGGAATACATAAGGTATTAAGAGAATTTATTTTGAGTATAAAAATATCTTTTTTAGATGATGTGCCAATTAAAGGATGTAAAGAAGAAAAAAAAGATGAGACATTGGATTCAAAGAGATGTAGGAAGTTTGTGGCAAATCATATTGATGATTGTGAAAAGATTTTGAAAAAATTAAAAGAAGTTTATTTAACCTTATCAGGGACAAAATCAATATTTGGAAAAAAAAAATTGGTGGTTGGGTACATGTATAGATCATAAGGATGCAAGCCAAGTATTAAAAAGATTGATATTATTAAAAAGATGAAAGAATGTGTAAATACAATAAAAGTCCAAAGGTTTTTAAGAGCATGTAATATCTATCATATTTGGATACTT